CGGTGCGAGCCTTGCGCGTGCGAGCGGAGCCTGTGCGAGTTCAGCGCGTGCGAGTTCAGCTGCGTGTGAGTTTAGACGGTGCGAATTCAGTGGAACGTTGGCGTGCGAGCGAAGCTGGTGCGAGTTCAGCGCGTGCGAGCAGAACCGGCGTGAACTCAGCCAATGCGAGTTCAGCTGGGGCAGCTCCACTCGCACGTGCAAGTGCCGGGACGGTCCGCTCGCATGCATGGTTTGTGGTCGTGCGCGACGCAGAAGAGAACGAACAGGAGGAAGCGTCCACGAGGCCCGCAAGAGCTTCCTCGGGCAGACGACCCCAAAGCAGCTGCCAGAGGAACCGAAATCTGCGAGGAGCCACATGCTGGCGCAGAGGCCAGAAAAAAAACGGTCCGCGTGTCATCGGGGACGGAAGGACCCGGGAGGAGCGGCGAAGATGCCAAAGGGAGGCGAAGAGGGAAAGGGAGGGTAGCGAGAGGTGACCGGAGGGGTGGGAGGAAAGGGATAAGTGGGCGAGCAACGACACCTGTACATGTACGCCCTCCGCGGTCTTGCCTGCACGAACGTCCGCGTGGACACGCACTCCAGGGGAAGCGAACCGCGTACGTGTACATATGTTGCTGGCCTCTGAATAAGGTCATCGAGGTAAGGGGGACCGGCGAGAGAGGAGAGGGAGCAGGCAGCCGGAGCGGACGCGAAAGACATCCGAGGAGGCACGAAGATCGAGCAACCCGCGAAGCCTGGGGCAGCATCGGCAGGGCGTGGCTGAGGCCGTCTGTGTCCGCCACTGTGCCATCGGCCCGTCGGGGGTGTTAGCATGCCTGGTTCCTGGTGGATGTCTGGCAGGGCACGCAAGCGAACGCAGACGCGTTCAGTCAATGTGACGGCGGCAGTGAACACGGTGGACATGATGCTGGTGAGAGCGATGATTGGAGAGAGCGTATCTTGTGTGAACCCACGTCATCCCGACCCCCGGCGCGCGTGGAAGTGGGCCCGCACCCCGCGGGGACCATGTCCGTCGCTGCGCCGGATGCACTGGATGCGCCCGGCGTGTCCCGTTCCGGCGCTCTCGCTCGAGACATCCTCGCAAAATCGCCCTCCTGGCGGGGGGAGATGGGGGGGATGGGTGGGGGGGAGGAGGGGGGACGGGGAGGGGGGGGAGCGGAGGGAAAAGGGGGGGGGAGGCGGGGGGAGGGGGAGTGGAGGAGGGGAAGGGAGGGGAAGGGGGGGGGAGGCGGGGGGAGGGGGAGTGGAGGAGGGAAAGGGGGGGGACGGTGGAGGAGGGGCAGGGGAGCGGGGAGGGAGAGCGGGACACATGGCCGCAATATATATATATATATATATATATGTATAACTTTTATATGTATACACAGCTATAGACATATATATATGTAATACATAAAACATGTTTATGTACATATTTATGTGTGTATATCTATATACACTAACTCCCGATCATCCGCAGAGCGGCTGCTACTCGTAGGGATGATAGGGGATTATCGGTTACGATGATATGCAACCAGCTTGCGTACGACGATAAAGATGATGGGGATGATAAAGACGACGGTGACGAAGACAGAAATAACATGAGTGCACTTCCCAGTGACGCCCGCGTGCGGCAGCTCGCCCGGAAGCGGACGAGGGAGGAGAAGGATGAGGAGACGGAAGAGGAGAAGAGAGGAAAGCCCGACGACAGGTACGAATGCACAGAGAAGTTACGAATAACGTGCACAGGAGGAGGTGAAGGCCGAAGGAATATCAGAAGAGGAAGGCGAGGCCGAACGAGCCCAGACAGTTACCAGGAGCAAAGAAGCTGAACTCGCACGCAACGAACTCGCACGGACTTCTCTCGCAGGGACTGGACTCGCACGGACTGGACTGGCACGGACTGGGACTTGCACGGACTAAACTCGCACGGACCTAACTGGCACGCGGAGGACAACGATTCCCTGGTACCTGAAACCTCGGGCTCGAATAGCTGGTGCGAGTTCAGCGCGTGCGTGTGGAGCCGCGTGCGAGCCAGGTGAGTGCAAGTCAAGCGCGTGCGAGTTGAGCATCCCCCGATCCCCCTCCTCCTCCCCTATCCTCCTCCCTTCTCCCCCTCCTCTTCTGGGGCGGCGCGGTGACCTCCGCTGCTGCTGAGCGTGGCAGGAAGTGCCCGCCGCTGGCCTCTCTGCGCCGTGTTTAAAACTGGATCGACCTGCGAGGGTCCCAGGGCCCAGGCATTGGGCGAAAACGCCTAGCGTAAAAGAAAACGCCCAGTGTGAGAAATCGTGCGGGAACACCTTTCCTTGGACTTCAACCATAAAGTCATTGAAACGGCTGCACTTTCTTGGGGCAAGTGCGCACGGAGCTGAAGCGAAAGCACGAAGAGGGATGAACGAGGAGAAGGAGGACAAGGAGGAGGGAGGAGGAAGAGAAGGCAGAGGAGGAGAAGGAGGAAGAAGAGAGGGGGCAACTCCTCTTTCTCCTCCGCCTCCTCCTCCTCCTACTCCTCCTCCTCCTCCTCCTGCTCCTCATCTTCCTCCTCAGCAGATTCCTCCTCCTCCTTCTCCTCCTCCTCCTCTTCCTCCCTCCTCCTCCTCCTCCTCCTCCTCCTCCTCCTCCTCCGCCTCCGCCTCCTCATCAGCTTCCTCCTCCTCCTCGTTGAATAAGTTATGAGATTAGTATTGCTAATACTATTAGTAGTACTGTTATCTAAAAGTACTAATGCGAAAGAAAAGCATGTTGGTAGTATTACAAGTATCCGTAACAACAACACTGTGAGTCCTATATGGTCAGTATCATTGATTTTTCGTAGTAGCAGTAGTTGTGGTAGGAACAGTAATAGTAGTAGCACTCGCATTTTCTATAGCTTTGAAAAATTGCGATTGATATAACTATCATCAACAACAGCATCGCCAGCACCAGCATCAGCATCATCATCATCAACATCATCAACCTCAGCATCATCATCAACATCATCATCATCAGTCGTAATAGTATGACTACCAGTGTTACCATTAATAACAACAGTGTGTGTTGCTTCGCAGTGGTATGAGCATGAGTGGGATTAGTTTTAGTGGTATCACTACTCGTGATTAAAATTATAGTGCTAGAATACATGATACTGTGACTATCGTCTGTTAGTCGTGTAAGAATTACGAGTATTACCATAAAACACTGTTAGTAGTCAAAGTGTGAGTGTGGTCAGTCGCGTTAACATCATTGTTAGGAGTAGTCATAGCGCTAGTAGTAATACCAGTGATGTTCCCAGGTCGGTTTGTGGTTGTATTGCTTTGAAGCATACTGACATTGGAACAGTTAGCAGTAACAGTAATCATACTACCAGTTTGGATGTATTGCTATGTGTGAGAATATTCGTGGTAGCATTTCAATGTTGATCCGCATTGGGCCTGGCATTGCTTAATAGTATTAACCCGTTTAATAATCGCATTGTTAGTAATATTGCTGGTTGCGTCAGCCATATTCTTACTAGTCGCATCAATCGCTTCAGTACCATTAACATTCTTAGTCGGATTAGTATGATTCAGGGCGTGTTAATGGTTATGTGTTTATATTCGTTGGAAGTATGACTCGCCTCATAGTTTGCCTATCATAATCTTCTTCTCAGTATGAATCGTCTTAGTGTTCCTTTGTGGCTCATATAAGTATGATGTGCCTGCTGAGCCATTGTCCTAGTCCTATTATTATTAGCCATTCTTCTGAGTAATGCGAAATTTGTTCTTGCGCTTCTCTTCCATTTCAGCATTCATAATCTTATTATTAGTATTAGTAATATGGTGTTGTGCGATTATATTATTAAAAGTAATATTAGTGATATGAATAGTACCATGCATCGTATCCTTATCATTAGTGCTACAAGACCTGTTCGTATCACCACTGTCAGTTGTTAGTGATATTGTTATGTAAGTTGTTGCTAATGTTGCAAATATTATTAACATTGGTAATAGAAAAAGTATGAGGTCTATTATGACTCCTCCTCCTCCTCCTCCGTCCTCCGTCCTCCGTCCTCCTCCTCTTTCTTCTCCTCCTCCGTCCTCCGTCATCCTCCCTCCTCCTTCCGACCTCCTCCCTCCTCACTTCTCCGTCCTCCCTCCTCCCTCCTCCCTCCTCCCTCCTCCCTCCTCCCTCTCCTCCTTCCTCCTCCTTCCTCCTCCTCCTCCTCCTCCTCCTCCTCCTCCTCCTCCTCCAACTCCGTCCTCCTTCCTCCATCTTGACGCAACTGTATCGTCGATTTGTTGTTCAGGCCACGATTCATAGCATGTGTGTGTATGTCGGCGCATGCGGTGATCCAGGTTTGCCTGGCGACCTTTTGATTCGCGATGCTGTTGAGTCACCCGTGGGGGGCCCAGGGACGGGCCTCTCAGACGATGTCCAGCGCGGCCTGCAGGTCGACCTTGCACGCGAGCCCCTGCGCACAGATGGCCCTGACGTAGTAGAACGCGAACTCGCCCAGGAGGAGCAGGTGCACCGCGTGCGCCACCAGGACCGCCCAGATGGCGTGGTTGACGCCCTCGATCCACGGGGCGCAGGTGATGTCGAAGCGCGCGTGCCACATGAAGGTGCCGCTCAAGACGCGGCTCACGGCCATCACTGCGATGTAGTGGCTGGTCAGCGCGTCGACGACGCCACCAGTGCGCGCCACCATGGTGAGCTGGGGCAGGACGGAGAACACGCCAACGAACAGCCCTGCCATCCAGAGGGTGTCGAAGAAAGGGCGGGAGTTCATGTCCGCGTGGAAGATGGCCGCCAGCACGAAGGACCCGAGGACGACCGGGAGGACGGGCAGCGAGTCCATGTCTTCCTGGACAGAGGAAGAAGATATATGATATATTGTCTGAGCCAAGCTGGGCTGGAAGCGTTTGGGCGAGGCTGGCTTGGCTGGGGCACGATCTTCCTGCAGGGAAATGAAATCTCTTCTGCAGGGAAGCCCTGGACTTACCAAGGGGAGCAGCGACGGAAAAAATCGGTCCGATTCGATTGGGGGTTACATGTCCCTGGGCCTGGTACGTGCGCCGGTACGTCACGAGCACGTGGTAGAGCAGCCCCAGCACCATCAGCAGCGACAGCACGTCGACAAGCTGGTAGACGAAATCGCCTGAGGCGTCAACGGGGAGGTAGCCATTGAGCCACGTGGTCGACGACAGGCGGCACGAGAACGAGAGGGCCTCGAGAGCCAGGGCACGCGCAGAGACGCCCGCCGCGGTCCCGCTTGAGAGGATCTGCAGGCACAGCAGCGCCACCGCCAGGCACTGGGCCATCACCGCCATGGTCAGGATCGCAGAGAACTCCCCGTTTGCCACAAAGTGGTAGACGAGGAAGGCGGCGGCCAGCAGGGCACCGTACGCAACAGACACCTGGGTGGAGGGGCCTTTGCCCGCAGCCTGCCCGGTGTGCACGGAGTGGAGCATGGCGCCGAGAAGGCCTCTCTCGACGACGCTGTGCACTCTGCGATGCGCAGAGAGCAGGGTGGTTTTTTCTTTGTAGGTCTGGCTGTTGCTTGAGATCCGGAAAATGACAATGGCAACAGCGCGACAGCATTAATGATAACACCCGGGCAACCCTCAATCGGTGGCTCTTGCGGAACATGTAAAAACACGGTGGCGGGCATGGGTTAACGGATGACAGGCACGACCAGCATGAACGCAAGCATCGTGAATACGACCGGTGAGAGTTCCACCCTGCTGTTTTCCCAGCCATACTGTGGTGTTGGGTCCTCATTTGGAAGACACAGGCGCCCCGCGTTCCTTCCTTCCTCCCTCCCCTCCTCCCTCCTCCCATCCATTTCGGCACACCCATCACGCGTTTCGTGGCCCCGTAAGGGCCTCCACCGAAGACTCCAACGGCAGGGCCCGCGCCGCGGCCCCGCGCCAATTTTGGCACGCCCCTCACAAGCTCGGTGGCCCCATAGGGAGCTCCACCGGAGGCCCCGACGGCGGGGTCCGCATGGCGGCCCCGCGCCAATTTCGGCACATCCCTCACACGTTTCGTGGCCCCACAAGGAGCCTCGCCGAAGACCCTAGCGACAAGGTCCGCGCGGCGGCCCCGCGCCAATTTCGACCTGCACCATCCTTCGTCACACCGGCTTTGCGGCACTCGCACCCGCAAAAGATTGGGTAATTCGCCCCGGCAATTACAATATTTTCGGGGCGTTCGACGTTTCGAGCTTCTGACGCTCCAAGACGACCCAAGAAATCCCCAACACCGCCCCAAGACGGCCCAAGACGGCCCAAGAGGCCCCCAAGAGGCCCCAAGACTGCCCACGAGAGCTCCAAGACGGCTCCAGAGCCGCCCAGGACGGCCCAAGAGGGCCCAAAGACAGCCCCAATAGGAGCCCACGAGGGGGGCACAAACGGAAAATCCGAGTCCCAAGGAGGCGCCTAGATAGAGGCCCGTAAAATGCCCCGAAAGGCCCCCAACCACGTCCCAAAAACGACGTGTGTGCTTATAGCATGTACGCGAGCATTGTTCCATCAATGTATGTACCTGTGCATGGATTGATCTATTTATTCATGCATGCACTGACGAACTTATTCACCCATTGAAGCGTGATGTCAGCCAGAGTTCCGACAACTATCAGCAAATCGAGCTGCCATCTCTGAAAGATAAATAAATGATATCACGCACGCGCGCCGTACCAGCGCGGAAGACCTCTGGATCCCAGAGCGGATTCTCTCGGACTTCGGCCCGCCACGGGCCATCCTCACGGACGGGCGGGCCTGCTTGGGCCCGAGTGCATGGCCTGCCCGCGAAGACGGAGCAGCCCCTGGACAAGCGCACGGCGCGGCGCTCTTGCATCCACTCGGCGTTCTGGACGCCCAAAGTCGAATCGCTCGGGCTCGGGTTGCGCAGAACGTGACGTGCCCCACTAGCGTGCGAAAAAACTCTGGGGCCACCCCACTTGAAACGGCACTGGCTACGGATGACACGCGGGCGCCTGATTTGGAAGCTCGCCGGGAATTCGTCCGCTCGCGGACGCTGCAGCGAGCTCCCGACAACCAGATTGTTGCGACGGGTGTCCCACGCCTTTGATGCTGTTTGGGCCATCGGCCAGCGTGCTGCTCTACAGCAAACGATCCCATCCGAAAGCGAATACCACAGCTGGGATACGTTTGCAATGTTTGCGATCAGCGCGCGCTGGTCCAGGGGCACCCGCCAGTTGGCCGAGGCGCTCTCCAGACAGACAATGTTGTGGATGTCGCGCATTGATATTCTGTGAAATTGCAAGGAACCACCTTCATGCCGGGTACGCGTCGCCAGTCCGCACCCTGCGCGTGCCTCGCGCGCAGTTCAAATGCGCCTGGCGATGACGCGGCGATCTCGCGGCTGTCTGGCTCGACGCGGAACGAGCCCTCCATGGCCAGGGACTCGCCACAATCAGACGTGATGGAAGTAGCCCCCAACGCTGGGTCTCCAAAATGGAGAACATTGTCCGACCAGATTACGATCGACTGGGAAGCATCAGCGTCCAACTGAATACCTCGTCTGCCCCAAGCTTCGCTCAAGCGCGTTACGACATTTTATGTAGGAAGGCGGGCAATCAAGCACACTGCGCGCGCCCCCGTGAGCAACCCTTTCCTCGCTGGATTGGCTCGGCCACGACATCTCCAAAGCGCAGGCGGACCCGAGGGGGGGCGCACAGCTTGAGAGCTGCAAGCGCCACTGCCGGATCAAGGCCTCTTCAAATCCAACTCTGGCATGTGCGACCCCGTGGAGTTGCGTCGTAGCAGCAATAATGTCACCCTGCGCTACCGCTGCTGCCCCCTCCTGCCCACGCCCTTCTCGATCACCATCGACGCAAGGAACAGTGCATCAGTTGGATGCTGGCCCCTGCCACTGCCCAGCGCTATTGCACCCATACCCTCAGCCGCGCTCCGCGCGTTGAGGCATGGCCTTAGCATGGCAGCCATTGCGCTTTGAGCTACTGCAAGCATGGCCCCTTGAGGAACGAGTGCCCGAATGCGGCCAGGGGCGACGGCGCCCCTCTCTCCCCTCAGCCCGAGCACGCAATGAGAGATGCTGTCAATCACCACGTCCGTCGATGATGTCCTTCAGGAGCCCTCTGAGAATCTGCTTCGCGACGGGGCATATGACAAACGGTTTCAGACAGAGGCCCTGGTCGTCCAGTACCACCCACTGTTTGCATGCAGGAAGGCCCCCAGAGACCGCCCGGTCGCCGAAAGCGAAGGCCCCCCCATGATCAGAACAAAAGTTATCCCACGCAGCCGCGCCCACGGCATCCACTCTAGACCATCGGCGTTCCAGGTCCAGCGCACATCCTATCGCCCATTTTGGTAGCGGTCTTCCCACCGTCGACCGTCATCACGTGCTCCAAGTAGGCTTGCCCTAGAAGAATCCTGGCTCAACCCCTACTAATTGGTCCCTTGCCCCCCCCCTAATTCCTATGCCCCTCCTAATTCCTATGGCTATGCCTATGCCTGTGCCTATGCCTCCCCCCTCACTCCCATGCCTACGCCTATGCCTATACCTGCTTGCTTGCTTGCTTGCTTGCTCGCTCGCTTGCTTGCGTGCTTGCGCGGTTGCTTGCGCGCTTGCTTGCTGAGTTGGGGATTCCAAACATGCTTGATTCCTCTGACTCCTTGATTTGGAGTCAACGCTGGCTGGCGTTTATCTTGTGGGTATTCTTGCGCCTTGTCGCAGCGCTCTTTCCTTGCTTTGCCTTCCAAATGGTACGACGTTCAGCCTCGTTCCGCAAGCTGCACTGACTTCCTGACTGCTTCCTTCATAGGGCCGACGGTGTCGGCTCCGTTGCGCAACTAAGTCTCCAAGTGCTGGACAAAAGCCTCGTCATAAACGCACTGCGATGTTGTTCTGGGCTCTGCTTTTGCTGGGGCCTGCGCGGGAAGCAATTCTAGTTGCCACACGTGGTCTGCAACTCGCATGCTGGGGCTGATCTGAGCGTCGACAGCCATGGACTCCGGGACGAACAAGTGGTAAACCCAAGACGGCGATTGCGACAAAATCAACAGGCCCGACGGAATTCTGGCAAACAACGGCTCGGCTGTCACGGGGGAGCCGGAACGAGCACCATGCTGCTCGCGACCTCAAGCATCGAGCGCCAACGGAGGTCCTTCGTGTTGCGGTCGGCAGTGAAGCCGCCCATCCAGCACGGCGCTACGTGACGGCCCCTGACACAAAATAAAACTGCATCTGGTAATGAGTCCTCCCACGCATCATTATCATGCGCCCCGTGTGTCACTAAAATGTCCATGCCCTGGTTCTCGGGAAAGGCATCATCAGCGTCCGGGCGAGTAGACGAAGAGAAGCGGAACTTGATCAGCCCGCTGCGGCCCTCCAAAATCAGCGACGCGCGTCCGAATGCACGAACAACTTGAGAGCTGGACTGCCCTCGCCTGGCCAGTGCCAAAAACTGCGCGCCCGTAAACACAAGGATTATGACTGATGCTCTTGGCGAGGTAGTCGGCGTCTGCTATGCACACCACGAGACATGGATTGACCTGCACATTTAGCGCCTCGACAAGAGACATCGTGGAGAACGCGTCCTGGCAGCGGCCCCCAGCACTGATGAGCCACGGTGGGGCGCGATGCGAATGCGGCCCTGGCACGAGCTGGTCACGCGGAGCACTCGTCCGCGAGGCGGTTGAGCGGCTCGCGGTGGTAGCGCTCCAGGCCGAGGGAGCTTCGCTTCCACTTGTCCATGCTCACGCCGCGCCCAGATGAAGATCTTGCGGCTGCGAGGGCATGTCTCTACTCCTGCCCCCCGCCCCGGCTTACGGGGCGGGGGGCAGCAGTCGAATGTGTTTGTTCATTTCTTCGTCGCTACATAGTGTTACTCCTTACGACTTCTGGATTAGCTTATTAGCTGAGACGCATTGTTATGTTCGTGCGTATTCATTATGTCAGATGGAGTTTACGCATGCATATATGCATGTACTTAGTTGTGTATACATTCAAATATGTATTGACGCATATATTGTATAATTTCATGTATGTACGTGCGCATATACGAACGCAGTGAGTTACTTGGTTGTGCCATTCAACCACATATGTATATACTGATGTATGTACGTATGGATGGATGGATGTGTGTACGTATGGATGTAGCTGTGTGCATGTACGTTTGTACGTAGAATGCATATATGTATGTATGTATGTATGTGTGTATGTGTGTACGCATGTCTGGATTATGTATATGTGTATGTATGTCGATGTTTGCACATATGCATGTGTATATATCTACATGTGTGTATTGTAAATGTGTGCGTGTGCATACGAACATGTGTTTATATATATAGCCCACCGCACGCACCAAGAACCCTCCTTTCTCCAGATTACCTACGAATTCTTATGTATATATATACACATATATAGCGATGCCCTTCCTCTGCTGAAGAAGCTCCTCTTAAAACCCAGGGCCGATACACTTTTCCGGGCTCACCACTGCCTCTGCAAACATTCTGAAAGCACGAGGACGGCCACTGTTGGGGCCGGCCTCGACTAGCCAAGGGTGGGCGGGCACGGGAGAGCTTGAAGCCAGAGCCCCCGCGCGTCGAGGAATCGCTGCAATCAGCGATGCCCTTCCTCTGCTGAAAAAGCTCCTCTTCAAACCCAAGGCCGATGCACTTTTCCGGGCTCACCACTGCCTCTGCAAACATTCTGAAAGCACGAGGGCGGCCACTGTCGGGGCCGGCCTCGACTAGCCACAACCGCTCTTGGTGGTAGAAGGGGCGGGGGAGGGAGGAGCGAAGCGGGCACCGAAGAGCTCTGTTGGCAACGGCGGCGGCACACGAGGACGGTGACCGGAAGGGCGGGGGTCGACGTCGCTCGGCCTCGGCAAACGACTCGAAGACAGAAGCTGCCAGGTGGCCTCGCAAAGGGGAGGCGCCGGCAGCCTCGGCGAAAAGCCGGACTTTACTACGGAGGGGACTCGGGAGGTCCGCGAGGAGCGTACTAGCCCCGATCTCCTGGATAAAAAATCTCTAGCAACCTACTGGAGAGCCATCAGCCCCTGTAGCGAGCCCAGTCTGGCGAATCTGTGAGCCTATACCAACACGTGGCCCCTCCCGAGCGGAGGGGCGCTGGGGTGATGCCGCCTTTGTCTGGACGTTGAATTCCAAAGAAAACCTCGAGGGAATCCAGACAACATCTGAGAACACGGGCATCATCATGCAAGAGAGGGGAGCGAGGGGAGGACAGAAGTGAGAGGGCCACGAAGAAATGCACAACTGCGGGACATCAATCCTGATGTGCACGCAGCGCGCTCATAGGCGTCACATTTTGGGCGCGCCCACGTGCACATACCTTGAATTCAGACGATCCAACGTCCGCAGGGGGAGCGCCAGGTCCCCGAACTTCAGCCTCAGGAACTCGAAGGGCCTCATCATCCCGAGGAAGCCGAGGGTCGGGCCGCCGGAGACGTCGCACCAGCCCCACGCCAGTGCAAGGCTCGCCGAAGCGAGCAGCAGCGCCTCCGGCATCGCCTGGTGGTTCGAGCCAGGCGTCAAGTGCTCCCGCGTGAAGAAGATATCCCGCGACGCGACGAGTCGGTGTCGGAGGGCGCGATTTGCGTCCGCCATCCAGTGCTGGAGCTGCGAGACGAGGGCAGCACGGCGCGTCTGGACCACTGGCGTCAGGCCGCGCGCGGCCGCCAGGTCCGCCCCCCGCGGGGCGGGAGGTCGGCGGGCGCGGCGCGGCCGCAGGGCCCCGCAGCAGCAGCAGCACCAAGAGCCCGACCAGGCGGGCCCGCGGCTGCGCCGCCCCGGCTGCAGCGGCGCGGGAGGCCAGTGCCAGGGCTCCACGAGCTCGGCCCCGATGAAGGCTGGCCGTGCCCGGGAGGAGCCGGGCCGTCACCTGACCAGGGGATGAAACCCTGCTCACCTCCATGAGGGGGCCTCCTCGGCCAGCCGCCTCCGCCGCGCGGGCCCTCGCCCGGGAAGCCCAGCTTGGGGTCGCGCACCCGCGGTCGAGGGGCGAGCCGCAGGAGCCCACGCCACCAGAGGCACGCCACCAGCCAAGCCCACCGAGACTGCTGCCGGCGCTGCAGCGGGAGCGCAGCCCAAGCGCGGAAGGCTGAGGCGTCCCCAGCCTCGAGGCTGGCCAGCCAGCACGGAGCGGGAAGCGGAGCCTCGGCCCCACGGGCCAGAGCGCGCGCCGGGTCGCGGAGCGTGCGCGACGGGACGTCGGCTGGCTGCAATCGCGTCGGCGCGAAGTGGCATCCGATGTACGAGCCCGCGGCCAGCTGCAACGGGGCCCTCCTTCTCAAGAGCTTGTTGATCGCAGTCGATGAGGAGCGGCCCTTGCTGATGGCCCCGATCGAGCCGCGGGAGTCCAGGAGGAGGTTGCGCTGGCAATCGGGGAAACGTAGGCCCTGCTCGTCCACCGCGTCGCAGGCCGCGTCGATCTCCAGCAAGTTGATGTGGAGGGGCTTGCGGAAAAGGCGATGGCAATGCAGCTGCCAGGGAGCGAAGCCAACGTAGTCGTTCAGCCAGAGGGCCTCGAACGCTCCAGCGGGCGCCGAGCTCTCCGCCGGTGGCGGCGGAGTCGGCCCGCCCAGGTTGTCGGCGATCAGCTAAGACAGCTCGTCGCAGAAGCCGTGCGGGTATAGCGCGGCTTTGGGAGTCAGGCCGCCCTCTAAGACCGTGTGCTTGTGCCCTCCGCGACAGCGCCTCGCCATAGGCGCCAGCCAGGAGCCCCGCACGACCATGAGGCTCGTGTCCTTCTTCCAGGGCGCACCGAACTGGCACATCGAAAGGTCGAAGCGCTCTACGGCCTCGTGCGTCAGCAGGAACTCGACGATGTGCGTGTGCCAGGAGTAGGCCGTCAGGGGGTGCTCGTGCAAGCCGGTACCGTGGCCCGAGAGAAGGTGGGCGAACAGCGCCAGCATGCCCACCCTGAAGAGGACGTTCCCCAGGCGCGTCGGAGTCGAAGATGGGTCGAAACCCCAGGGCCGCGCCCTGGACCTGAGCCTCGGGTGCCTCGCGATGGAGAAGCTGGTGCATGGAAACTGTGATATGGTCATCTTGACGCGCCTCTGCCAGATCAGCCATACTACCCACTCCGCCAAGCGTGAGTCGACCAGGTCCCAGTATTTGTGGCACTTGATGTCTATCCTCGGGCCCGCACGCAGGCCCCGGTCCGCGAGGTAGCCCATGAGACGGGCCTCCTCCCCGCAGCAGAGCTCCAGCACGTCGAAGTACTCGATCAGCGAGGCCGGCGGGTCGACGGCGCCAGGGGGAGGGACGGCATCCTCCTCCAGGTCCTGCAGGACGGCGCCGTCCTCGGGGTTGGCAAGGGCAGCCCAGCCTGAGGGGTAGAGCCACGTACGGGCGCCTCGCTGCTCGCGCTGACGCCAAAAAGCTCTGGCGGTGGGCGCTGAGGCAGGCGGCTTGACGGACGCCCCGGCCAGGTGCGAGGCGTCCGAAGCCAGAACATGCGGCCCCCAGCCTGCGGAGAGGTCGGTGGCCATCAGCGGAAGGAGAACCGCGAACAGGGCGCACTCGTTGCAGGTCGCGTTGCTCAGGTCGAACACCTCGTGCGGGTCACGGCCGACGTCGACCTCCCTGTGGCAGTAGTGGAGGAGCGACAGGGTCGGCCGCCGGAACAGCGCGGCAAAAAGCCCCATGCCAAGGAACCTCTGCAGCCCGAGCGTAGTGGAGCGTCGGCCTCGGGCCATGGACAGGCCCATCCAGGCCAACGCCAGCCTGCGGGTGCGCGAGGCGCCGACGAGCCGGTCGTGGCCAAGGAGCTCGGCCCCGATGACCGTCGCCTCCGCCGCGTCCTTCACTTCCTTGCCCGCGCTGACCCTGAGGCCAGCCTTGGCATAGCCCTCGCGTGCACGGGCGAACGACTCCTCGATAGCTCGCCGAGCTTCCCGCGAGCCTGGAGCGTCGACCGCCAGGCCGAAGTGGTCGCCCAGCACGACGCCCTCCCAGGCCGACCCCATCGGGGGCGAGGTGGCGGTTCAGCACCCGCCGTTCTGGAGGGAAGCTGCCAGCGTGGGCGAGCAGCCGCATGCGGGACTCGCACGCCCAGTCGGGAACGCTCAGTCCTCCCATGATCAGGCCGCCATGGCAGGGAACCACTTTCTCGGGGGGCTCGCGACCCTCACGACGGCAGCGCCTCCGAAGCCGGCCCAGCGCTGCGAAGCCCTCGTAGAGCCTCGTCGGGAGGGGGAGCGCCACGTCGTTGGTGCGGGCCATGTCGTAGGCGCAGTCAAAGGCGAGATAGAAGTCCTGTAGGTCGCCCGCCCAGACGCGCAAGACAGAGCCAGCCGGCACCTCCAGGTCCACCAGCGTAGCAGCGCTCGGGGTCAGTCTGGAGAAGCCGCCCAGCGGCAACTCCGCCGAGTTGCGAGCGATGCGATTGAAGACGACCCTCTGCGTGTTGGCGTCCTTGAACACGGGGAACAGGGTACCTCTCAGGGCCTGCTGGGAGTCGGCCGCGTCGACCAGCTCCAGTCGCCCCACGTCATCCCACCGCTTCAGGCACTGGAGGAGGTCGCCAGGCTGGCCCGCTTGGCGGGCCGGCCTCGCCGCAGGGGGTCGGGTCGGGGGCCCGACCGCGCGCGCCAGAGGGCCGGCGCCCGGCCCATCCCGCGCCAGCAGCCGAGGCTCTAAGAACGTGGCGGCGGAGAACGGGGCCAGGAACGCCAGGGGGTCGAAGTGGCACTCGGCCTTGGCGAAGGGAGCCTTGCTCGGGTCGCTGGTCATCACCTCGGAGTCAGGAGAGGGCGCCACGGCGCCCAGGGGGAGATGCATCACATTCAGAAGATAGTCGAGCAGAGCGCCGGCCTTCTCCACGCGGCCACCTTGCCATTGCAGGGGCCGGCACATCGGTCGCACAAGCCTCCTCAGCCTGGACACCATCTCGGACTGAGACGAACTGAGAGGCCCCCCCGCGCGGGCGCGCGGCGGGCAGCTCCGCGACTCGCCCAGGTGCAGGTGGGAGAGAGCGAGGACGACGGCGTCGACCCACATGTGCTCGACGTGAGTGCGAAGCCATCGCCTGCGAGCGCGCGCGCCCCGCGGGGGGGGGCACCAGCAGCCCACCCGAAGGGCGGGGGGCAGGGCAGCAGACCGGCAGCAGGAGTCGCAACCTCCTGGAACCCAGCGGCGTGCATGGAGGAGCGGACGAGGGCGCCGAAGGCCGTGCGAAGCCCGCGCAGGCGGCGGATCAGGCCAAAACCCCAGCGGATGCCCACGTCCAGCGAAGTGCTGCCGCCCACCAGCCCCCCGCGGCCCCCCGCGCGTCCGCGCGGCCACGAGGCTGGGGCAGCGTCATGCAGAGCTCCCGGGCCAGCCGGCCCAGGGAGCCCCGCTCTCACTCGCGGGGGGGCGCGCCAGAGGCCTTGCCTTGGCGCTTTGGGCCCCCCCCCTTACTCCGTCCTCCTCGGCCCTCGGGGCGGCAGCCGGCACCAGCATCCGCTCCGCGTCCTCGAGGGCCAGCGTGTCCTTGGCGTAGCCGATCATGGAGTTGCTCATGCCCTCCTCGCTCGCGGCACCCGTCATGCTGAGCTGGCGGTTCCTCCTGGCCATGGCGGGGACGGCCTGGGGGCTGCTCTGGACCTGACATCGGAAACGCCTCAGGGCGGCAGCGCCGCGCGCGCCACCAAGTTGCATGCCAGCGCTCTCGCCAAGCCCGCCGTCGTGCCCGCCGTCCGCCAGGAGCGACAGTGCGTCTGGTAGGCGACCACCGCTCTGAGCCAGGTCCCCCATCCATGACGCCTGCTGGACCAGCCGGGTCGTCAGCTGCTCCGCGCGGCCGCCGGCCCCTGCGGGAGCCACAGGGGGCTGGGGCTCCGCGGTCTGGCCCGCTAGCGGAGGGGCAGAGCTGCGTGGGGGTGGGGGCGGAGGGCCCGGCGACAGAGCAGGGCCTTGGGAGCCCGAGGTCGCTTGGCCGGCGGGGGGCCGCTGCGGGAACGGGTCCGCCGCGCCTCCCCAGCGGGGCGGAGGTGGCCCGACGGCGGCCGCAGCGGCGCGCGTGGCGGGCAGGCCCTCCAAAGCTGCGATCCTCTCCAAGAGAGCGTTCTGCCCGACCAGGATCTGCTCCAGGACCCGCTGCTGCTGCTGCGGCGCCTGCCTGGTGAGGGCCTTCCTGGTCGGCGCCTTCGGGGGGGCGGGCAGAGCAGCCGGCTGCGCGTGAGGGGCTGCCCGCTGCCGCTTCAGCTCCGCCACCTCTACAGCCAGGCTCCTCAACTCCTCGACCGCGCAAGCCCGCTGCTGCTCCAGCAGCTCGCTCGGCGGCGTCGTGGCGGCTGGATGGAGCGGAGAGGCCTCCCCTGCGAACCGCGCGCCGAACCCAGCCTCGGCGACCGCTGGCTGGAGCCCGGGCACCGGAGGGGGGCGGAGCGGCGGTCCGGAGGCGGGCGGCGCCAGCCTCATCTCCTGCGGTACGCCTGTCGTCACGAGCGCGGGCTCGCCAGCGCCCTGCAGAGAGTCCAGAGCGGCCAGCATCATGGCGGGGACCGCCTTCGCAGCAGCCACTAGGTCGGACCCCCGGCCATCGTCGTGGAAAGCGTAGACCTCACCCTCGCCAGCCTTCAGCGTGAGGAACCCGAACTCTCCAGCGATCTCTCCAGCAGCAGGGGCGGGCAGCCGCGCCGCGGCTGGCACGTTCTGGGGCGTGGCGCACAAAAACCAAGCGCTGAGGTCCTCGTCCCCCTCCTCGCCCGTGTCGACCGCGTTCTCCTCCTGAGCCATCATCACCAGCGGTGGAGAGGAGGCGGCACAGGGGCGCCGTGGCGGGCGGCCTCGGCGAGGTAGCCAGCAATCGCCTCGTCCTCCGAGGCGAAGCGGCGCAGGCGGTCGCCGCGGAAAGAGCGGTACCCGCCGATCCGCCCGGCGATGGCCTCCCAAGCCCGCCGCGCGCCGCAGTGGACCCCCACGAGGTCCGGGGCAGCTGGGCTCGCCCAGACCGCGTAGGCCCAGGTCTCGGCGCGCGCCGCTCGGGGCGCGCGGGGCGGGGCGGCCAGAATCGGGCGGGGCGCCGGCTCCTCGGGATCCGTCTGCGTACCCACGTCTCGTGTCGCAGGGCCCGCGCAGGGGGCCGCGCCCGCCGGCGAGCCGCCGGCCCCGCAAGGGGTCAGGCGCACGTTGACGGTCTGCACAGCGGACCCAGGCGCCGCGCTGCCCAGCGAGGCGCCGCCCCCAGCCAGGGAGGCAGCAGGCGCCCGCCGGCTGCAAGAGGACGCCGCCGCCGCCAGGAGCGAGGCCAGCATCCACTGGATGGTGCGGAGAAACGGGGCGCGCAGGCGCCCGCCGAATGAGAGCTTGAAGCCAGAGCCCCCGCGCGTCGAGGAATCGCTGCAATCATATATATATATATATGAATCGTGCGATGTTCGGACTTGACTTTGAGGCTCATTGTTGGATGACTTTTTGAATTTGAAAATAACCGTTTACTCAACTCCCTCCGTCTCCAACACACCATCTGGTAATTCACACCCTCCGTCTGCAACACAGCACCCGATACTCAACAGGCTCCCTCCCCAAGCTGACCTTGAAAATAACATGTTACTCTGAAAATAACATGTTACTCAACTCCCCCCGTCTCCAACACACCATCCAGTACTCAACACCCTCCGTCTCCAGCACACCACCCTATACTCAACAGGCTCCCTCCCCAAGCTGAACTTGAAACTAACCTTTTACTCAACTCCCTCCGTCTCCAACACACCATCCAGCACTCAACACCCGTCGACTCCAACACAGCACCCGATACTCAACAGGCTCCCACCCCAAGATGAACTTGAAAATAACATGTTACTCAACTCCCTCCGTCTCCAACACACCATCCACCAGTACTCAACGACCTCCGTTCCCAACACAGCACCCGATACTCAACAGGCTCCCTCCCCAAGCTGAACTTGAAAATATCCTTTTACTCAACTCCCTCCATCTCCAACACACCATCCAGTACTCAACGACCTCCGTCCCCAACACAGCACCCGATAGTCAACAGGCTCCCTCCCCAAGCTGAACGTGAACATAACATGTTACTCAACTCCCTCCGTCTCCAACGCACCATCCAGTAATCAACACCCTCCGTCTCCAACACACCACCCGATACTCAACAGGCTCCCTCCCTAAGCTGAACGTGAACATAACATGTTACTCAACTCCCTCCGTCTCCAACACACATCCAGTACTCAACACCCTCCGTCTCCAACTACCACCCGATACTCAACAGGCTCCCTCCCCAAGCTGCCCTGAAATAACCATGTTACTCAACTCCCTCCGTCTCCAGCACACCATCCAGTACTCAACACCCTCCGTCTCCAACGTACCACCCGATACTCAACAGGCTCCCTTCCCAAGCTGAACTTGAAATAACCTACTCACTCCCTCCGTCTCCACACACCATCCAGTACTCAACACCCTCCGTCCAACGTACCACCCGATACTCAACAGCTACCCCCCCAAGCTGCCCCTTGAAATGCATGTTACTCAACTCCCTCCGTCTCCAGCACACCATCCAGTAATCAACACCCTCCGTCCCCAACACAGCACCCGATACTCAACAGGCTCCCTCCCCAAGCTGAACTTGAAATAACTTTACTCAACTCCCTCCGTCTCCAGCACACCATCCAGTACTCAACACCCTCCGTCCCCAACACAGCACCCGATACTCAACAGGCTACCTTCTCAAGCTGAACTTGAAAATAACCTTTTACTCAACTCCCTCCGTCTCCAGCACACCATCCAGTACTCAACACCCTCCGTCTCCAACACACCACCCGATACTCAACAGGCTCCCTCCCCAAGCTGACCTTGAAAATAACCTTCTACTCAACTCCCTCCGTCTCCAGCACACCACCCAGTACTCAACACCCTCCGCTACTCAACAAACTGTACCACCCGTATACTCAACAGGCTCCCTCCCCAAGCTGCCCTTGAAATAACATGTTACTCAACTCCCTCCGTCTCCAGCACACCATCCAGTACTCAACACCCTCCGTCTCCAACGTACCACCCGATACTCAACAGGCTCCCTCCCCAAGCTGCCCTTGAAATAACATGTTACTCAACTCCCTCCGTCTCCAGCACACCATCCAGTACTCAACACCCTCCGTCCCCAACACATCACCCGATATTCTACAGTGTCTTCTCCATCACGCACACCGAGTACTCAACACCCTCCGTATACCACCCGATACTCAACACTTCTTCCCCATTGAAATAACGGTTGCCGCGCACCCATCCAGTACTCAACACCCTCCGTCCCCAACACATCACCCGATATTCTACAGTGTCTTCTCCATCACGCAACCGACCATTATGTAACACTTCTTCATTTACGGTTGCCGCGCCCGCCTTCCGCACCCTTTTCTCTTGGCATCTTCCAAAAGAAAAGGGGGGGTCATGGTGCGTGCGGAGACCTACGTGTATATATATATATATATACAAGACTGCATTGGCGCTTCGCGCCATGCACCTTGGTTCTTGAAGCTCGGCATGCAGGAGAGCCAAATATAGCGATGATTCATTGTTGCCGTTTGCGCCATCGTCGTTATAGTAATGTTATGTACTATCCTTATACTTCCTCTCCTCTTACTCGTAATCTTCCTTGTCTGCGAGCCACTCCTTGTCCTCATCCCCAGTTTTTATTGCAGGGGCTCCTCTTTGGAGGTGTTCCTGGGCCCCTCTCAAAAGCTTTTTGGGGACCTCTGGGGGCCTCCTGGGCGCCTTTTGGGGGCCTCTGGGGGCTTCTTGCGGCCACCTTGCTACCAACCACGGTCTCCCTGAACGACCGGGTCACGATTTGGAGTGCTTCGGGAGGCGTCTTGGGGCCATCTGGGGCTGTCAGCGGGGCTCTCTTGGGGCCATCTTGCGGCCCTGTTGGACCATATTGGAGCTCTTTTGGACTGTCCGGAAGCCCTTTGACACCGTTGTGGGAGGATTTTTGGGGCCTCTTCGGCGGACTCGGACGCACGGAATACCGAAGAACCGAATGTCCAAAAATTCCTTCTTTTTTTAAGGCAAAAAAAGGAAAGGAAAGGAAAGTGTTGTTTTGTTTGCACTTGGAGGACCTCTTGGGGGTTTTCTTTGGGTCGTCTTCGGGCGTCTTGGGGCTGTCTGGGGCCGCGTGGGGCTCTCGCGGGGCCGTTTGGCCGCCCTCCTGACCGCTTTGGGCCCGCTGGCAAGGCCCCGCAGGGGCGTCCAGGAGGCCCGGAAGGCCTGGGGGACCCCTTGCAAGGCGTCCAGGGGGCCCGAAAAGCGCCAGATCCCGGGGGTCCGATTTTCGGGGGGGGGGGGGTCCCACCCCCCCGGATTGTAAAAATATAGCAAAGGGAATATGTGTATGTATATGTGTAAACTACTTGAATGGTTATATATACATATATATATGAAACGATGCACGCATGTATGCATGCATGCATGCATGCATGTGTATGTATGCACGCGTGCATAAAGCCATGCATGCATGTGTGTACGTACGCATGCATGTGTTTATCTAGTTATGTGTGTACCAACGTAGATATCTACACACGTATAAATATGTACATGTATGTTTCATCTACCCGTTTAAATATAACTGTGTCTAGGTCATACATCTACATATACATAGACATCCCAACGCAACGATCATGGAGGAGGGCAGGGAGGGCAGAGGAGAGGACGCTAACCATCAAAGAGCAATGCCTCACACTTCTTACTCGGTGCAGTCTGCGACTACTGGCGAAAAGCACACGAGCCCAGGTAACACATGCGAAAAAAGCGGGCTGTAAGAGCAGATTCCGGCGCCCGTCGTGCCGATGCCTCAGTGCGACCGCGATCACAATGAGAACTCGCGCGTGCGCAGCCCATGCTGGTTCAAACTGGTGGGACTCGCACTGGCGCCCAACGCAAGCACGGGGGAAGGACAAACGAAGGCAGCCTGGGACAAGACGGGAAGGAGACTGGAGCACGGGCCCGCCATGCAGCGCGCGGTGCTGTGATCAAGCACTGAGTCAAACTCGACGTGCAAGGAAGCGAAAAGGCGGCAGAAGCGAACGAGGGAAGACGCGGCGGCAGCAGCGGCAGAGGAGACGGCGGAGGAACGCCAGAGCACGGAAGAAGCGAGGCGTCTGGAATAGGAGACCTCGCAGGAACCCATCGAGGGGTCCCTGACGTCGGGGGCGCGACATGGAGCAGCATACCGGGCCGATCGGCGCGGCAGAGGAGCAGTGCGGCCTGGCCGATGTATCCGGCCGCCCGCCCCGTGTCAGAGGGAGGGGGGCGAAGACAACTAGCATTAGGTCGGGCCTGTCCCCCTACAGGCGGATTCGTGACGGAAGATCAGAAATAGTCCAAAAATGCCTAGGAAGAGCCAAAAAATACTCGAAAACCGTCCCCATACATTTTTCTTTTAACTATTTTTGAGTGTTCTAGGGGAACAAAAAGTGGAATAAACATAAAAACTCGGAGGTCCGCGCGGATTTCTCGGATCGGCGCTGGGGCCCCCCAGCGGTGCCTCCGGCGCCGCCCCTAGCGCGCTCCGCCCGCCAGGGAGAGGGGTCCAGCGCCGATCCGAGAAATCCGCGCGGACCTCCGAGTTTGTATGTTTATGTCACTTGTTGTTCCCCTATGTTCCTGTAGAGGGACAGGCCCGCCCTGAAGCTGGCTGCCACTGGTGAGGTTGGAGGCCCGTGCCTCGAACGCCAGGGCCCCCTGGCAGGGGGAGCCACGAGCACGAGAGAAGGCAGGGGGCCGCCACCTCCGACGACGACGACGACGACGACGACGACGACGACGACGACGACGACGACGACGACGACGCTACGACGACGACGCTACGACGACGACGACGCTCCGACGACGACGACGACGACGACGACGACGACGACGATGACGACGACGACGCTACGACGACGACGACGCTACGACGACGACGACGACGACGACGACGACGACGACGACGCCGACGCCGACGACGACGACGACGACGACGACGACGACGACGACGACGACGACGACGACGACGACGACGACGACGGGGGGGAAGGAGGAAGGAAGCCAGGGAGGGGTGGGGAGGGGGCGGGAACAGGGGGACACCCCCAGCCCATGGCACTCTTGTCCAACGCTGCACATACTCGACAGGATGGGCTGCTGGCAGCCTCATACGTACGCACACAAGCCTCATCCACATGTCCCCTTCACTTTGAGCGTCTGCGTCTTCCGGCAAATCAGCCTTCAGCTGCAGAACGCACTCTTCGAGCTGCTCCGCTTGCTCGACATTCTGGGCCTGGGATGCCCTGGTGGACGCAACAGCTTCGTCACAGGAGCTTGCCGAATCAGAACGTTGTAGTATGAGCTGTCTGTCCTTTTCTTGAGCCTCTTCTGTGTATCCTGAAGAACGTGTGAAAGCGGAGCCTGGGAGTCTTTTGTATGTCGGAACGAGTCCTATGGGGACTATATGTTGAACGAGTTAACGGCGGATGCTGCTGTCAAGGGTTTGGGCGTTCTGGGACAAGTGATTAAACGAGGAATCCACGAGATTTGCACCGTTGCCCCTTTTCCACACACCCCTCACTGCATGTTGTCGCACCCGTAGAAGATATTGGGCGGACTTTTGAGCAGATACTCCTTTGCCATCGTCGCATGTAGCTCCTCGCTTATCTCGTTTGTGGGCTCCTTGCGGCCAAGCGGCCAACATTTGGACGCCCCGTCATCAGGAGCGGGAAGGACAAGCTGGGGACCGGTAGCATTATCCTTCCTACACTGACTGGCATCAAACTCACAAGTGAAGCAGAAAGTGTATACCAGCGGGTCTCTTAGGACATCAAGAGAATGTGCACGTGACACCCGTTACCTGATAGCCTGGCCTGTAGCCCTCGAGTCGGGTACCCATATGAAATTGATCGCGCGCCTAACTAGAGGTGCGGGTGAGGTGATTGCCGCCCAGCTGACACGTCATTACCCCCGAAAAAGAAAAGTGAGAGCATGGGCCCCCTTGATCCTTGCCTTTTAACTACGGGTTCGGAGTTCCTGCGGTTTGAACCCAGACGGCTGCGCTGGCCCTCCTCTTTTTTTTTACTCCTTCTCCTTCTCCTCCTCCTCCCCCTCCTCCTTCTCCTCCTCCTCCCCCTCCTCCTTCTCCTCTACTCTTCGCTTCGCCTCGCTGCAATGAGAAATTCGTCGCGGGATGCCAGGAAGCCCTCCTCAGAACCGCTCAACATCGACGTGTGAGTCGTAAACCCGCTCCCCAAAATCCAGCCCCGGGCCTCCATCTGTCGACTCCGCGTCGTGCAGTGCGGGGCAGCTTCGAGGCACTCTGCACGGGTCGCCGAGGCACCTGCCGTCTCCTGGGGCGGCTCGAGCCTGGCCTCTTCTCTGCTCACCATCCCTTCTGCTCACCATCCCTCCTTCCTCGGCGACCCTTCCGCTCATCATCCCTTCTGATCATCATCTGCTCATCCTCATCCCTTCTGCTCATCATCCCTCCTTCCTCGGCAACCCTTCTGCTCATCATCCCTGATGATTCATGATCATCATCTGCTCATCATCATCCCTTCTGCTCATCATCCCTGGGCGTAAGGCTCCGCGGCACCTCGCCCAGGAAGTTGAGCTCCCACCGGAGCGTCCTCGGGGGAAGTCGCCACACGGGCGCCTATAACTCCACCCTCCCAGGCTGAGGAGGCACTCGCGGAGGGAGGAGACGAGCGAGGAAGAGGAGAGGTGGGATTGTAGGAGACGGAGGAGGGGGCGGAGGGTGTCAGAGAGGACCCAGTCGAAGTCGGAGATAGTGTAAGCCAGGGAGCAATGGACCAGCAGAGGCAGGAGTGAACGGGAGGGAGCGAGGGAGCAGAGGACGGGGCAGAGAACGAGAGAGAAAGAGAGGTGTTGATGTATATGTATATACTAGAACCATCGCGCGCGCTTCGCGCGCGCTCAGGTTCTAGCCCAGGCCGGGGGGGCGCTGGACCAACGCTATCAAGCACATGCGCGCGACGGCATCTGAGGAGCTTCTGGGGTGTTCCGCATGCTTCGTCAATGGCTGTTGGAGGCACCTCTTGGGTGCCTCTTGGGGGGGCGTCTGAGGGTCCCTTGGGGGCATCGGTTCTGCAATCTGAAGCCGTCATTGGCCGTCTTGGCTGCGTGGAGGCCCGACTTGAGGCCACCTGCGGCCAGATTGAGGCAATCCGGAAGCCTCCCGGGGGCCTCCTGGAAGCACTTTTGATGCATTTGGGGCACTCTGGGCTATTTTAAAACCTCTTGGACGTCTCCCAGGGGCCTTTTGGGCCCTCGGGGAGCTTTTGGGGTCCTCGTCGGACCACTTTGGGGCCTCTTGCAGCCTCCTGTGGGCCTTGTGGGGGGACCGCTCTGCTGTTGGGTCGCGTTCCCTTTCTCGGGCCTCTCTTGGGGCTCTTGGGGCCCTCTCGGGCCGTCTTGGGCGCCTCAAGCACCGTCTTGGGGCCCTCGCGGGCCGTCTTGGGGCCCTCTTGGAGGCCTCTTCCTCTATGTGGGAGCGGTATTGGAAGCCTTTGGGGCCGTCTTGGAGCATCGGGATGCCAAAAGGCCAGAAAAAAAACCGTCAAAGCCCAATCGTAAAACAATGAGTTGTGCCTCTTGGGGCCACCTTGGGAGATCTCTTGGAGCCTCGTCGGCCCTCTTGGGAGCTTCTTGGGGGCCTCTTGGATCCGATTGGGGGCCTCCTGGGACTTCCCGAGAACCTCTCGGGGTAGAAAGCTCGGATTCTCGGTTCATGTTTCCCTTCTTGGGCCTCTCTTGGGGCCGTCTTGGGGCCCTCTCGGGCCGTCTTGGGCGCCTCAGGCACCGCCTTGGGGCCCTCGTGGGCCGCCCAGGGCCCTCTTGGAAGCCTCTTCGGCTATCTTGGAGCTGTCTGGGAGGCCTCTTCCTCCTCCTCGTTCGTCCCCCTCCCTCCCTCCTCCCGACACTCCAGCTCTCTCTCCTCCTGATCTTCCTCCTCCTCCTGCAGCGTGTTCCTGGAAGGCTCCCGCCGGAACATGCTGTGCACAAGTGCTGTCACTGCTCCCGCCACCGTGCCCTGGGTGGTGGGTCAGAGGCCTCATGGGTGTTGGTTTGGATCTCGTGGTTGGCCTGTCGGGGACGTCGTGAAGGCAGTTTCGCAGCTTCTCGGTAGCCGTTTTGGGACCGTTGTGGGGCCTCCTCGGGCTGTTTTGTGGCCTCTTTAGGCCTCGTTTGGGCCTCCTGGGTGCCTCTTGGGGGCCTCCTGGGGCCTCTTGGGGGCTCCTTGGGGCCTCCTGGGGCACTCTTCAAGCGGGAGGGTCGAATTTTGGAGTCGTGGTCCCCGTCTTGGGCGCATCTTGGGGCCGTCTTGGGGCTCTGTTGGGCTGTCTTGGGCGACTCTGGGCCGTCTTGGGGCCCTCTTGGGCCGTCTTGGGGCGCTCTTGGGGGCCTATTGAGCCGTCTTGGAACGTCGGACAGCCGAAAAGGCTGGAAGGCCAAAATCGTTCGAAAACCTTCGTAAAATTGACGATTTCGGCCTCTTGAAGCGCTCTGGAGAGGCGTCTTGAAGCGTCGTGGAGTGCCTTGGGGGGCCTCTCGGGCCGTCTTGGGCCTATCTTGGGCGTCCTGGAGCGGTCTTTCGGCGACTCGGGGCCCGCTTGGGCCGTCTTGGGAGCTTCTGGAGGCCCTCCTGGACTATTTTGGACCTCCCCGGCCGCCCCTCCTCCCATGGGGGGTCGGAGGCGGCGGCCTCCGAGGCCCAGGACGCGGAAACCCTTACAAAAACACAGGGAAAATGAGCCCCAGTGCCCCCATGGAGGCTTTTCGGCGCTCTTGGACCGATGGGAGCTCGAAAACGCGAGAAGCCAAAAACATTGAAAAGACCATTGAACATATACGACTTTGGCCTCTTCGGGCCGTACCGCGATACCCCTCAGACTTCTTGGGGTCTCTTGGAGGCCACCTGGGAGCCTCGAGAGCCGTCGGAAGGCTGACTTGGGCTGCTCGGGAGCGTCTTGGGCCATACTTTCGCATTCTGGGGGCTCCTGGGGGGCGTCTTGGGCCCTCCTGGAGCGCTGTGGAGGCTGCCCGGAAAGGCTGGGACAGCGGCCCCGGGAACGCCCCCGAGATGTGGCCATATCTTTTCAGCGCGTTCTGGGGGCATCTTCCCGGAACGCGCTCGCGGCAGGGCGCCCACGTCCGAGGGCGTCGGCATGGGAAACCGCAGCGCGTGATCATTCCAGCGCGTTCCGGCGAAGACCGTCCGGAACGCGCTTGGGCAAGCGCTGGGCTTTGGGAAGGCGAGTGGGAACCGTTCAGGCAGTTTGGGATGCCCGGGGCAAGAAGCGGAAGCCATCCTCATAAGACATGCAGTCTTCCTGGAGCCGTCTTGCACAAAACACAAGAAAAATGATACCCTGCAGTCGTTCCTGGAGCCGTCTTGGAGACCTCTTGGGCTGCCCTGGAGCCTGTATGAGCCCTCTGCGGAATGGTCTTGGCGCCCGCGCCGAGGATCTGGAAGACGCGCGGGACCATCGCGGCGGCCTCCGAGGCCCGGGACGCCGAAACCCTGTAAAAACACAACGAAAATGATCTCCGATACTCCCATGGAGGGTCGGGCAGCTGTTTTCGGGCCCCTGGGCTAGAACCATCGCGCGCGCTTCGGGCGCGCTCAGGTTCTAGCCCGGGCCAGGGGGGCGCTGGACGATCTTGGACAACGCTATCAAGCACGGGCGCGCGACGGCATCTGAGGAGCTTCTGGGGTGTTCCGCATACTTCGTCAACTGGCTGTTGGAGGCACCTCTTGGGCGCTTCTTGGGGGGGCGTCTGAGGGTGTCTTGGGGGCATCGGCTCTGCATCTGAAGCCGTCATTGGCCGTCTTGGCTGCGTGGAGGCCCGACTTGAAGCCACCTGCGGCCAGATTGAGGCAATCCAGAAGCCTCCCGGGGGCCTCCTGGAAGCAGTTTCGACGCATCGAGGGCACTCTTGGGCTATTTTAGAACCTCTTGGACGTCTCCTAGAAGTCCTCTTAGGCCCTCGGGAAGCTTTGGGGGTCCTCGTCGGACCACTTGGGGGCCTCTTGCGGCCTCCTGTGGGCCTTGTGGGGGACCGCTCTGCTGTTGGGTCGCGTTCCCCTTCTTGAGCCTCTCTTGGGGCTCTTGGGGCCCTCTCGGGCCGTCTTGGGCACATCAAGCACCGTCTTGGGGCCCTCGCGGGCCGTCTTGAGGCCCTCTTGGAGGCCTCTTCCTCTAGATGGGAGCGGTATTGGAAGCCTCTTGGGCCGTCTTGGAGCATCGGGATGCCAAAAGGCAGAAAAAAAAACGTCTAAGCCCAATCGTAAAAATCAATGGTGTTGGTGCCTCTGGGGCCACCTTGGAGATCGCTTGGACCTCGTCGGCCCTCCTTGGGAGCTTCTGGGGCCTCTTGAATCCGATTGGGGGCCATCCTGGGACTTGGTCCCGAGACTCCTCTCCGGTACGAAAAGCCGGAATCTCGGATCGTGATTCCCTTCTTGGGGCTGCTTGGTGCCGTCTTGGGCCCTCTCGGGCCGTCTTGGTCGCCTCAGGCTCCGCACTTGGGGGCCCTCCTGGCCGCCCAGGGCCCCTTCTGGAAAGCCTCTTCGGCTATCTTGGAGCTGTCTGGAGGCCTCTTCCTCGCTCCTCGTCCCCTTCCCTCCCTCCGCCCATACTCCCGCTCTCTCTCCTCCGATCTTCCCCTCCTCCTGCCGCGAGTTTCCGGAAGGCTCCCCCCGGAACATGCTGTGCACAAGTGCTGTCACTGCTCCCGCCACCGTGCCCTGGGTGGTGGGTCAGAGGCCTCATGGGTGTTGGCTTGGATCTCGTGGTTGGCCTGTCGTGGACGTCGTGAAGGCAATTTCGCAGCTTCTCGGTAGCCGTTTTGGGACCGTTGTGGGGACTCCTCGGGGCTGTTTTGTAGCCTCTTTAGGCCTCGTTTGGGCCTCCTGGGTGCCTCTTGGGGGCCTCCTGGGGCCTCTTGGGGGCTCCTTGGGGCCTCCTGGGGCACTCTTCAAGCGGGAGGGAGTCGTGGTCCCCCTCTTGGGCGCATCTTGGGGCCGACTTGGGGCTCTGTTGGGCTGTCTTGGGCGACTCTGGGGCCGTCTTGGGGCCCTCTTGGGCCGTCTTGGGGCGCTCTTGGGGGCCTATTGAGCCGTCTTGGAACGTCGGACAGCCGAAAAGGCTGGAAGGCCAAAATCGTTCGAAAACCTTCGTAACATTGACGATTTCGGCCTCTTGAAGCGCTCTGGAGAGGCGTCTTGAAGCGTCGTGGAGTGCCTTGGGGGGCCACTCGGGCCGTCTTGGGCCTATCTGGGGCGTCCTGGAGCGGTCTTTCGGCGACTCGGGGCCCGCTTGGGCCGTCTTGGGAGCCTCTGGAGGCCCTCCCTGTCCCATGTGGGGTCGGAGCGGCGGCCTCCGGGCCCAGACGCGGAAAACCCTGGTAATTATCGCCATCAAAGCAACCTGAACAGCGAGTGAAGTAGCATATTCGGAAGCATTCCCCTTAAGATTCAGATGAGAATCCTGTTGTAGAATTCTGATGTTCTCGCTGTCGTAGTCGCATTCGCGATGGCAGTCGCAATGGCAACGGCAGTCGCAGTCACAGCCTCAGCCTCAGCCTGCCTCAGCCTCAGCCTCAGCCTGCCGCAGCCTCAGCCTGCCTCAGCCTCAGCCTCAGCCTGCTTCAGCCTCAACATCAGTCTGCCGTCAGCCTCGGCCTCAGCCTCAGCCTGCCTCAGCCTCACCCTGCATCAGCCTCAGCCTCAGCCTCAGCCTGCCTCAGCATCAGCCTGTCTCAGCCTCAGCCTCAGCCTGCCTCTGCCTCAGCCTCAGCCTGCTTCAGCCTCAGCCTCAGTCTGCCTTCAGCCTCGGCCTCATCCTCAGCCTGCCTCAGCCTCAGCCTGCATCAGCCTCAGCCTCAGCCTCAGCCTGCCTCAGCATCAGCCTGCCTCAGCCTCAGCCTCAGCCTGCCTCAGCCTCAGCCTCTGCCTGCTTCAGCCTCAGCCTCAGTCTGCCTTCAGCCTAGGCCTCAGCCTCAGCCTGCCTCAGCCTCAGCCTGCATCAGCCTCAGCCTCAGCCTCAGCCTGCTCAGCCTCAGCCTGCACCTCAGCCTCAGCCCTCAGCCTGCTCAGCCTCAGCTCAGCTGCTTCAGCCTCAGCCTCAGTCCCTGCCTCCACCTCATCTCAGCTCTAGCCTGCCGCAGCCTCGCCTGCATAAGCCTCACCTCAGCCTCAGCCTGCCTCAGCATCAGAGCCTCAGCCACACCTCAGCCTCAGCCTCAGCTCAGCCTCAGCCTCAGCCACAGCCGGCTTTCAGCCTCACATCAGTCCTGCCTGTGGATGCCTCGCCTCAGCCTAGCCCAGCATCATCTCGCCTGCATCAGCCTCAGCCTCAGCCTCAGCCTGCCTCAGCATCAGCCTGCCTCAACCTCAGCCTCAGCCTGCCTCAGCCTCAGCCTCAGCCTGCCTCAGCCTCAGCCTCAGCCTGCTTCAGCCTCGGCCTCAGTCTGCCTTCAGCCTCGGCCTCAGCCTCATCCTGCCTCAGCCTCAGCCTGCATCAGCCTCAGCCTCAGCCTCAGCCTGCCTCAGCATCAGCCTGCCTCAGCCTCAGCCTCAGCCTGCCTCAGCCTCAGCCTCAGCCTGCTTCAGCCTCAGCCTCAGTCTGCCTTCAGCCTCGGCGTCAGCCTCAGGCTGCCTCAGCCTCAGCCTGCATCAGCCTCAGCCTCAGCCTCAGCCTGCCTCAGCATCAGCCTGCCTCAGCCTCAGCCTCAGCCTGCCTCAGCCTCAGCCTCAGCCTGCTTCAGCCTCAGCCTCAGTCTGCCTTCAGCCTCGGCCTCAGCCTCAGCCTGCCTCAGCCTCAGCCTGCATCAGCCTCAGCCTCAGCCTCAGCCTGCCTCAGCATCAGCCTGCCTCAGCCTCAGCCTCAGCCTGCCTCAGCCTCAGACTCAGCCTGCTTCAGCCTCAGCCTGAGTCTGCCTTCAGCTCGGCCTCAGCCTCAGCCTGCCTCAGCCTCAGCCTGCCAGCCTCAGCCTCAGCAGCCTCAGCCAGCCTGCCTCAGCCTCAGCCTCAGCCTGCCTCAGCATTCAAAATGTGGCCCGGGAATGGAGTTCTGGGAATTCGAAGAACACGAAGTGGCCTACAGTTGGCTCCGGGCATTCAAAATCATGCCCAGGAATGGAGTTCTGGGAACTCGAAGACCACGAAGTGGCCTACAGTTGGCTCCGGGCATTTTAAATGTGGCCCGGGAATGGAGTTCTGGGAACTCGAAGAACACGAAGTGGCCTACAGTTGGCTCCGGGCATCCAAAATGTGGCCCGGGAATGGAGTTCTGGGAACTCGAAGACCACGAAGTGGCCTACAGTTGGCTCCGGGCATTCAGAATGTGGCCCGGGAATGGAGTTCTGGGACCTCGAAGACCACGAAGTGTGTGCATGAGTCGCGGGGCTGATATTATGACCATCATCTTCATCCTCATCATCATCAGCATCATCATCATCATCATCATCATCATCATCATCATCATCATCATCATCATCATCATCATCAGCATCAGCATCAGCATCAGCATCATCATCATCATCATCATCATCATCATCATCATCAGCAGCAGCATCATCATCATCATCATCAGCAGCATCAGCATCATCATCATCATCAGCAGCATCATCATCAGCATCATCATAATCGTCATCATTGTACTCCTCCTGCTCATCCCCATATCACCCTTCTCCGACTGCTCCTCCTCCCCATCATCATCACCAGCAGCAGCAATATCATCATCATCTTCCTCCTATTCGTCGTTGTCGTCCCCTTCCTTCCTCTCCTGCTGCTCCTCCTCCCCCCCTTCCCAATCCACATTCTGTCCACAGGTTTTTCTCGCAGCGTCACTGGGGGCTCCCAAGATAAGGCGCAACCGTACATACAAAACGTCAGCCCCACGACCACATGACCAGGCGTGGCTGCTGAAACCTGCCTCTTCCCGGGTGGCCCCACGAGCTCGGCACACGTGGCCTGCTCCGGATGTCCCGAGTCCCAAAAGGGCTGCCACCTCTTGGCTACACATTGCTCTTGGCACGCACCAAGACATACTAGTACTGTGTGTCCTCCTGGGAGGCGTGCGCCCGACGAGATCATATGGTACAACCATCTTGTATGAAGGGGCCCAAAGACACACAAATGAATACACACAAATAAACAGATTCCCCATATTTTCCCATATTTTCTGGGTTTTCGTCTTCCCCCCCACTGCCCATATTTTCCCATATCTTCCTGGGGATCGACGATTAATTGTGTCTGTGTGTTCTTTTCCCTCCTGACTGTAGTGTATCGTTTCTCTTTCCCGACTCCGCCGGCCTCCCGCTGGCGGAAGAGGAGGAGGAAGAGAAGGAGGGAGGAGGTCTTGGCCAGGCCGGTATGCCTCCAGGGCCTTCTGGAAGGGATCTTGCATGGTCCGGGAGCCTGCGGGGGCTTCTTGGAGGCGTCAGAAGGATGCGCAGTAAGGATGCAGGGTCCTTGGTGGCCCCTGCTAACGTTTTTCGAGTGAGGCTGGCCAGAGAAAGTCGCTCAGCATGGGCCGAAGGGGCAAGGATGCAAGCGCACTACGAATTTCTTATTCATCAACGCGGGGGTGACAAACGTGAAAACGCGGCGCGGCCAACCCCCCCGGCACCACCCCCGCGCCCCAGCGGGGAAGGGAAAGTACCCTGGACCCCCTCGGCACCCCCACGGACGCGCCGCGGCCAACCCCCCTGGGCACTCCAAGGGGGAGGGGCGATGATTGAGCGATCCAGAGTGCCCTTGGGAAGTTTGCCCCTCCAAACTACGTATGCGGGTTGACTGCACTCGCAGGTGACGCTCACCAGCAGGCTGCGAGAGAGCGGAGCTCGGGGAGAGGTCCGCCCTGGGAGGCGGCGGTCTGGCCGAGAGCGCCCTCCGGAGGCCAAAAGTCCAAGGCTGAAGTGATGGGCCGATGTTCCACCACCACTGCCACAGGCAGGACGGGGGGGACTGGAGGATGGGGAGGTCCTCCTCCTCCCTTCTGCCCTCTCCTCCTCCTCCTCCTCCTCCTCCTCCTCCTCCTCATGCTCCTCCTCCTCCTCCCCCTCCTCCTCCTCCTCCTCCTCCTCCTGCTCCTGCTCCTCCTCCTACTCCTCCTCCTCCTCCTCCTCCTCCCCCTCTCCTGCCTGTAATAGTGGTGGCGGGAACTCGGCCCATGGTGAAACTCATTCACCCTGACCCTTTCACCAGCCTCTCCTTTCCACTGTGGGCCCACATCGCTAGCGGCACCAGAGGATCGCGCCCTCGGCGGAGGGCGACGGCGGAAAAGCTGACCGGGAGCGGGCCCAGCCGAGAACAGAAGAGTGGCCAGAAGAAGCTAGATGAAGTAGCGGGAGATTGAGCGCTGGTAGACCCACAAAGAGAGTCGCACCTAGCCCTTACGAGGGCAGTTCAGCACTAACCTCTGCATTCAGTCTGCCAAGGACTGTCGAACCCTGCTGGCAGCGAGGGACGAAGGAATCAGGGATCTCTGTTTGTCCTTAGGTCTGTAGTGACAGAAAGGACTGAAAACCCTGACGTGGTGTTGGTGAGATGCCACGCTGCGCGCGGGGAGCGCCGTGCTGCCGTCAAAAATCTGATCGTGGCAGACGCAGCGCTGCTTGGATCGGGCGTGGCTCAGAAAGCTGCCATGAGCGCGTTTCTTCAGTTTCGGCGACACTGGGCATTATATGAGGGAGGGGGGGAGGGGCCAGCAGGGGGGGGTACAATGTAAAGCCTCCCCCCCGCCGTGTGCGCGGCGGCAGTGCCCGGAGCGCACTGGGGGGGAGGGGCGTTACGTCATAGGGGGGCGGGCCAGGGGCTACAATGCCCAGTATGCCCCAAGCAAGAAAGAAGCGCGCTCCATGCACATGCGGCGAGGCGGCGTGCTGAGGACCTCAAGAGCCCAAAGGGTGAGCGACGCCCGTCTCTGGAGTGCTGCCCCGCCGCGGCTCCTTGCCACGGGCGGCCTGGCAGCGACGAGGACGGTGGGGCGCTCTGCAGCCAGGAGGGAGGCGTGGCCCATGGCATCTGACGCCTGGCTCCCACGGTATGGCCCAGGGGCGGCCCATGACATCGGACCACTGGCGCCCACGGCATGGCCCATGACAATCGGACCATGGCGCCCACGGCATGGCCCAGGGGCGGCCCATGGCATCCGACCACTGGCGCCCGCGGCATGGCCCATGACATCGGGCCATGGCTGCCCGTACGTGGGCTGCTCTTCGCCCGCGGGCGCGCGGGGCTCTCCGTCCCTCTCCTCCTCTGCGGCCGCCTCCCCTCTCAACAGCGTCCGTTCTCGACGAGTCGTGGACCCACGGGTAATGCGGGATGACGGTTAATAAAAAACGGGAGCGAACGAAAAAAAAAAAAAAACTGCTATTTCTGCACAAGTTTCTGACTGGAGGAGAACGATTTAAAGAAATAGTTTTCCAGCCCGCGGCCGGTTTTTTCTAATCGTCATCCTGGGCGCCGCCGCGTGAACACGACCCCCGGTCATTTATTAATCGTCATCCTCCATTATGTACGGATCCGTTGCGTTGCTCACTCTGAGAAGGCTGGTCGGCCTGCACGGCGAGCCGAGCAAGCGCAGACTTCCTCACGCGGGTTCGCCTTCTCCCCCCCAGCGCCAAGACCGCGCATATGAATGCCCGTGGCATGCGACTCTGCGGATGCCACACCTAAGAACTGACCTTGCCGCGCTGGCGCTGATGCGGGTACAAAAACGAACACTGGTCTCGAGGCGCCATGTGCCACCGCTAAACAATACTGCCGACGGACCCAACCATATGCAATTGTGAGCTCGCGGTTTATATCTTTGTCGGTGGGGATCCTGTGGAGCGACGAACCGTGCGAAACGGCGCCACTGGACCTTCGGTAGAGCTCCCGCGACGGTGTGCCGTAATGGGGGCGGGGGGTGCATGCGAGAGACGCCACTGGGGCCTTGTGTGAGGCTCACTAGGGGGCCACGAAACATGCAAGGGGGGTCCTGACATGGGTGGTGGGGGCGCGTGCGAACGGTGCTACTGGGACCTTCGGTGGAGATCCCTGTGGACCACGAAACGTGCGCGGGGTGTACCGACATGTGTGGCGGGGACGCATGCGAACGGTGCCACTGGGACCTCCAGTGGAGCTCCCCATGGGGCCACGACACGTGTGAAGGGTGTGCCGACATGGGTGACGGGGACGCATGCGAACGGTGCCACCAGGACCTTCGGTGTAGCTCACTAAAGGGGCCACGAAGCATGTGAGAGGCGTGACGGAATGGGTGGATGGGAACGCATGCACATGGTGCAACTGGGACTTTCGCTAGGGCCCCCCTACGGGGCCACGAAAAGTATGAGGAGTCCGGAATGGGTGGCGGGGACGCATGCGAACGGTGCCACTGGGACCTTCGGTGTAGCTCCCTGTAGGGCCACGAAACGTGTGAGGAGTGTGCCGACGTGGGTGGCGGGGACGCGTGCGAACGGTGCCACTGGGACCTTCGGTGGAGCTCCACAGTGGGCCACGAAACGTGTGAGGTGTGTGCCAACATGGATGGCAGGGACGCATGCGAACGGCGCCACAGGGACCTTCGGTGGAGTTCCGTATGGGGCCACGAAGCGAGAGTGGTGTGCCAAAATGGGCTGCGGGGACGCATGCGAGGCCACGAAACGTGCGAGGGATGTGCCGAAATGGGTGGCGGTGACGCATGCGAACGGCGCCACCAAGACCCTCAGTGAAGTTCCGTCTAGGGCCACGACACGTGTGAGCGGTGTGCCGAAATCGGTGGCGGGGACGCATGCGAACGGTGCCAATTGGACCTTCGGTTGAATTCCCGGTGGGGCCACGAAACGTGTGATGGGGTGTACCAGAACGGTTGACATGCGAAGGGCAGAGGTAGGGATGGGAGGAGGGAGAAGGGAGAGGTGGAGTGAGTGAGGGGCACGGGGCGCTGTCTGTTCAGAACGACGACCCAACAACACAGGATGGTTCGGAAAAAAACTCTAGCGGACGAGCGACGCTGCAGAGCTAATACTGAAGATCGGATCCAAATGACAGCAACTTCGGACTGAGACCAAAATAACCAGCCTCGAACTGACCCCTGTTCCTAAGATCGGCAAGCCCAAGGCGATGACAATCTCAGAGATGGGCCCTCAGAAACTGAGGGAATCCCTAAGATCACCACCAGGGCAGGGTGATGCTAAACATAAGGATAGGGCGATGTCTCAAGCTGTTTTTTCCCCAACCATCCTGTGGTGTTGGGTCCTCGTTTTGAAGAGACGGTCCCCGCGTTCTCCTCATCTTCCTCCTCTTCCCTCTCCTCCCTACCGTCCGCATCCGTCCCGCACACACAGTACAGCGCTTCGTGGCCCCATAGCGAGCCCCACCGAAGGTCCCAGCGCTACCGTCCGCATGCGTCCCGCACACCCAGTACAGCGTTTCGTGGCACTCCTCCCCCCCCCTCCCTGCGTTTCACCCACCCAGTGCAACGTTTCGTGGCCCCATAGGAAGCTCCCACCGAAGGTCCCAGTGCTACCGTCCGCATGCGTCCCGCACACACAGTACAGCGCTTTAGTATAGCGCTTCGTGGCCCCATAGGGGGCTCCACCGAAGGTCCCAGCGCTACCGTCCGCATGCGTCCCGCACACCCAGTGCAGCGTTTCGTGGCCCTCTTCCCCCTGCTCCCTGCGTTTCACCCACCCTGTACAGCGCTTCGTGGCCCCATGGGGAGCCGCACCGAAAGTACCAGTGCTACCGTCCGCATGCGTCCTGCACACCCAGTACAACGCTTCGTGGTCCCATAGGGAGCCCCACCGAAGGTCCCAGCGCTACCGTCCGCATGCGTCCCGCACACCCAGTACAGTGTTTCGTGGCCCCATAGGGAGCCCCACCGAAGGTCCCAGCGCTACCGTCCGCATGCGTTCCGCACACCCAGTACAGCGTTTCGTGGCACTCCTCCCCCTCCTCCCTGCGTTTCATCCACCCAGTGCAACGCTTCGTGGCCCCATAGGAAGCCCCACCGAAGGTCCCAGTGCTACCGTCCGCATGCGTCCCGCACACCCAGTACAGCGTTTCGTGGCCCCATAGGGAGCCCCCCGCAGGTCCCAGCGCTACCGTCCGCATGCGTCCCGCACACCCAGTACAGCGTTTCGTGGCCCTCCTCCCCCTCCTCCCTGCGTTTCACCCACCCAGTACAGCGCTTCGTGGCCCCATAGGGAGCTCCACCGAAGGCCCCAGTGCCCCCGTCCGCATGCGTCCCGGAAGCCCAATTTGGCATTTTCACCCACCCAGGGCAGCGTTTCGTGGCCCCATCAGGGGGCTCCACCCAAGGCCCCAGTGCCACCGTCCGCATGCGTCTGGGAAATGAGATTTGGCATTTTCACCCGCGCAGTGCAGCGCTTCGTGGCCCCATAAGGGGGCTCCACCGAAGCCCCCAGTGGGACCGTCCGCATGCGCCCCGGTAACCCAATTTGGCACTTTCACTCACTCAGTAGAGCGCTTCGTGGCCCCATAGGGAGCTCCACCGAAGCCCTCAGTGGGACCGTCCGCGTGCGTCCCGGAAACCCAATTCGGCACACCACCCACACAGTACAGCGTTCCCCCCCGCCCAGTGCAGCGCTTCGTGGCCCCATAGGGAGCTTCACCGAAGCAGATATTCACAATTACGGTACTCCAGATTTCGTAATAAAGGGAGGGGGGTCTCATTTCGGGGGGGGTCTCTTCCAGGCCATCTTGGAGGGCCTGGGGGGGTCTGGGGACGATGTTTCGGAGGGTTCTCCCACGGGGGGGGGTCTGAAATGGCTTGTCTTGGAGGGTCCAGACCCCCTCCCTTTTATTACGAGATCTGGAGTACCCACAACTGCATATGGTTGGGACCTTCGCCGGGATAATTACAAAAAACGAGCATCGAGCTCGAGAGGCGGGGCAGCGCAGGTCCTGAAGGCGAAGCGAAAGGAGCGGCGAGCAGCCCGTGCCTTGCTGGCGAAAAAAAAGGGGCGGTGCTCGGAGGCCACCTCGAGAAGAGGAGCCTCGCGGCACGACGAGCAATCGCCTAGATCGGGTGTTGATAAGCAGCCTAGAGGAGGGGAGGAGGAGGAGGAGGAGGAGGAGGAGGAGGAGCAGGAGCAGGAGGAGGAGGAGGAGGACGGGGGGGAGGAGGAGGAGGAGGAGGGGGTGGAGGAGGAGGAGGAGGAGGAGGAGGAGGAGGAGGAGGAGGGGCGGTGCTCGGAGGCCACCTCGAGAAGAAGAGCCTCGCGGCACGACGAGCAATCGCGTAGATCGGATGTTGATAAGCAGCCTCGAACTTGACCCTATCCCTGACACCGACAGGCTGCAGGGCAATGACAAGCTTAGGAATCTTAAGAGTGGCATCGAGATGAGGCGATGCAAATCATAGGGAACGGGATATGTTCCAGGCTGATGAGTTGACCTCGAGGAGCGGAACGAGAAGAAGAGAAGAAGGGGGAGCGAGACGGCGCGAGAGTGAGGTGACCTTCCGCTCACATCCACCAGGGGAAGTCTGTAACCAGGCCCCTGCTGGTCCCGGCTTCGCGATCCTTGACTGCTCACTGGGGCGGGCAGAAAATCCACCCCCCATAACAACCACCCAGACAAGTGAAGCCGTTTCGCAAGCGCCCCCAAGGAAGGAATTGAACAGGGCAAGGCTATTTACTAAACGCCCAGGGCCGTTTAGTAAACGCCGATTATCGGATCCGGGTGTTTTTTCCTCCCTTGAAGCATGCTGCGGAGGCCATACCTGAAAGCGATCCCTGCCCCGCTGGCGCAGGCGCGGGTCTAAACACTAGCACTCGTCTCGAGGCGCCACGGGCTGCCGATTAAATACCTCTGGCGGACGAGCGACACTGCGGAGCTCAAACTGAAGTTCGGATCCAAACGACAGCAACTTCGGGCTGAGACCAAAAGACAAAAGACTAGCATCGGGCTCGAGAGGCGGGGCAGCGCAGGTCCTGAAGGCGAAGCGAAAGGAGCGGCGAGCAGCCCGTGCCTTGCTGGCGAAAAAAAGGACGGTGCTCGGAGGCCACCTCGAGAAGAAGAGCCTCGCGGCAAGACGAACAATCGCCTAGATCGGGTGTCGATTAGCAGCCTAGAGCCTAGAGGAGGGGAGGAGGAGGACGAGGAGGAGGAGGAGGAGGAGGAGGAGGAGAAGGAGGACGAGGAGGAGGAGGAGGAGAAGGAGGACGAGGAGGAGGAGGACGACGGGAGGAGGAGGAGGAGGTGGAGGAGGAGGAGGAGAGGAAGGGGTGAAGGGGGGGAGGACGAGAAGGAGAGCAGGAGGAAGAAGAGGAGAGGAGGAGGAGCGGAGTACGAGGAGGAGGAGGAGGCGGAGGAGGCTGAGGACGAGGAAGAGAAGCAGGAGGATGAGGAGGAGGAGGAGGAAGAGGAGGAGGAGGCGGGAGCAGTAGGAGGAGAAGGAGGAGAGGAGGAGAAGGACGAGGAGGAGGAGGAGGAGGAGGATGGAGGAGGAGGAGAGGAGGAAGAGAGGGATGAGGAGGAAGGAGGAGGAGAGAAGAAGGAGGGGGAGGAGGCGGTGGAGGAGGAGGAGGAGGAAGGAGGAGAGAGAGGAGGAGGAGGAGGAGGAGGAGGGAGGAGGAGCAGAGGAGGACGGAGAGGAGGAGGAGGAGAAGAGGGGCGAGGAGGAGGAGGAGGAGGGGGAGGAGGAGGAGGCGGAGGATACGAGGAGGAGGAGGAGGAGGAGGCGGAGGACGAGGGGGAGAAGAGGAGGAGGAGGAGGAGGAGGACGAGAAGGAGGAGGACGAGGAGGAGGAGGAGGAGCAGGAGGAGGAGGAGGAGGAGGGAGGGGGAGGAGGAGGAGGAGGAGGAGGAGGAGGAGGAGGAGGAGGAGGAGGACGGGGGAGGAGGAGGATGCGGAGAAGTAGGAGGAGGAGGAGGAAGAGGAGGAGGAGAAGAAGGAGGAGGAGGAGGAGGACGGGGAGTAGGAGGAGAACGAGAAGGAGGAGGAAAACGAGGAGGAGGAGGAGCAGGAGGAGGAGGAGGTGGAGGTGAACGGCGAGGAGGAGGAGGAGGAGGAGGAGAAGGAGGAGGAGGAGGTTGGGTTGGGTTGGGTTGGGTAGAGGGCGGGCTAGTCTAGCCCACCTGCGCCGCCGCGGCGGCTCCGCACAGCCGCCGAGGCCTGGCGGCCTCAACGGCTCAGGGCTCCTGCGGCAACACCTTCACTCGGGCGTGCTGGCTGCCGCCGGACGCCGGCCTCAGCCCTCGCACTCGGGGCCGTCGCTGTACTGCGCCGCTGCGCGCTCCCAAGCCACCGCCTCCGCTGGGCTGTGGAAGCCGTGCAGCCGCGCGACGTCGTAGATGTGCAGACGCCGCCAGTTGAGCCGGTAGCCTTGTCTCACTGCAAGTTCCTGCTCCTCTTCCTCGCCTGCGCCGGGCGCCAGCACTGGTCGCCAGATCGTCCGCTCGGCGTCTGTGAGAGCCCTCGGCTGCCCGAGCCGCTGTCTCTGCCTCCGAGGGTGCGGGTGTAGGCCGGCTCGCAGCCGCCGACGCGCCTCTGCGAGTCCGGCGGCCTCGGGGCCGCGGCACGGACCCAGAAGGCTGCCCCGTCCTCTCCGCTGCACCTGCGCGTTGGCACCGCACTGCATGCAGAAGAGCACCGCGTCCTCGTCGCCGCAAGGCCTGGCCAAAATGCTGTGGCCCCTCAGCTTCCATGGCAATGCAGGGACGTGGTCCACCTCCGGGCGGTTGTCACCGGCTCCTGTGGCTTGCTCGCCCGGTGCGCCTGGAGGCAACTGGAGGGCCTCGGGCGCACCAACTCCGTGACATTGTAGGGGCCGTCTGCTGGTCGCTGGGCCGCCCTCGGCGTCGTGCTGGCCACCATCGTGCTCCTCCTGGTCGTGCTACTCAGGCCCACGGAATCTCTGACGTCCGTTCCCTGCAGGTGCGCGTGGAGGTCCCCCAGCCATCGCGCCAGCTGCCTGGCTCGGCGCCTGCACGCAGCGGCGAAGAGGCGCGCCTCCTCGGGGACGCCCCACAGCCGGGCTCCGCGGCGCGCCAGGCGGTCCGCCTCGGCGTTCCCAGCGCGCCGCCAGCTCTCCAGGTGGCTCGTCATGGCGTTCACCCCGAGGTGCGCCTTGACCTTCACGACCTCGACCTCCTGGTCGCCCATCTCGGCCCACCACGCTGACCAGAGGTGCCGCCGCACGTTGGCCTCGCGCATGGCGAAGGCCCGGTCGCGGGCGCACTTCACCGCGCCCTTGCAGTCGCAATGGGCCCTGAGAGGGCCCTGCCCGAGCTGCGACAGCATCTTGAACGCGTAGTCCTCGCCGTCGCGCGCCTCCTGCAGCGGCGCCTGCGCCAAAGGCACCACGCCGTAGGCCGCGCCCGTGATCTCCCGGTCGTCGTTGAAGGCCACGATGGCCCACCCTGCCCGCCTCAGGGAGTCGTCCTCCACGTCGAAGGCGCTGCCGTCGACGAAAACGTCACCCGAGAAGAACCCCCCCTCGGGTCGCACGTGCCACACGAGGTGGTGGGCCTCTGGGGCCTCTGACCTCGAGAAGCATTGCTGCGCGGAGGGCAGCAGACCTCGGGCGAACAGCTCACCCGCCGCCTCTCCGCGTTCGCGCACCACGCGCGCGGCGGCCAGCAGCTCTGGCGGGCAGCGGTCCTTCCTGCGCACCGCGTGGCCGTCGCAAGCGAAACAGCGATGCCAGAGCGTGCCCCGCTCCGCGCCGCACAAAGTGCTTCGGTCGCTGTCCGTCTTACCCTCGTCGCACAGCCGGGCCTGCGGCCAATGGGAACCTCCGAATAAGCTCCGAAGAGCCCGCTGATGGCCGACCGTCCACTCGGAGTTGTCCACCGCCTTCGGCCCGAGGAGCTTGGCCAATGGCGCCCAATTGAGCGGGGTCGCCCACGTGCCGGCCCCTCTCAGCCTGGCCAGCGCCGCCACGTCGGACATCTGGCACGCGTGTCGGCGAACGATCTCCTTGGCAGCCCCCGGAGAGAAGTCCCGCAACCGAATGACCTCACCTCCTGGGATCTCGAGGGCATCGAACCGCGGCATGTCCAGCCCTGCCCTGCGCAGCCCAAGGCGGCAGGCCTCCGCTGGGCAGCGGCACAGATTCCAGGGCCTCTCACGCATCAGGATGCCGCTCGCGGCCTCCCAGCACGTCTTCATCACCTCCTCCGTGACGAGCCCCCGCGCCAGTGTCGAGGTCCAGGCGCGCGCAAGCTCGGCGGCGTGCAAGACCCAGGGGTCCCGCGAGGCCGCGCGTGGGTGCGCTTTCAGCCTGAGGCCGACGCTGCACCCCGCTGGGAGCCTGCCAGCAGCCTTCGCCGCCAGGATTCTGAGTTGGTGCAGCTTGCCGTCGGCTATGCCTGTGACCACCGATCCCCATAGCGCAGTCGCCGTAGGGCTCCCCCTCTGGAGCCCTGCTGCCTGAGCTCCTGCCCTGCGGAGGGCCCGCATTCGGAGGGAAACGCGCGCAGCTCGTTGCATTCGCACGTCTTGCTCGTGGACCCTCCGCCACCTGCCATCCGTGGCGTCGCAGCCCAAGTTGCGTGCCCCGGAGCTCCGTTGGCCGCCCTGGGACCCAGCTGCAGCCGCCTCTGCCCCCAGCGCCGCGTCCATGGCAGCAGCCACGTCCGCAGTGTTGGCGAGGTACTTGGTCTTCTTCCAGGAGACGGGCAGGCCCTTCTCGACCAGCCCGCGCACGAGGTCGAGCGTCGCGTTCGGCAGCTGCTCCTTCACCTGCTTTCCTCCGCCCACCGCCTGCACGAAGACGTCGTCGACGATGTTCTGGCAGCGCACCACCGGGCACAACTTCTGCACCCGCTTCGTGAGCACGTGGAGCAGCAGCTTGGCCACTCCTGTGGCGCACGAGCACCCCGCGGTCAGGGTCCCGTTCGCCCGGATGCCATCCGAAATCGCTCCATCCCAGGTGGCTCTGCGGCTGAACCTGTAGCTCAGGCACAGGAGCTTGAGGAGCCTCTGGGGGAACCCCGTTTCGCCCGCCGCCTTCGCGAGCTCGGCGTGGCTGACGTGCTCGTAAAACTTTGCCAGGTCCACCACGCCTGCCCCAGCAGCCATCCTTTTGAGCCGCGCGAAGCTCGCCAGCAGGTTGGAGACGAGGCCAGCGGCGTCGCAGGACTTGTCCTCCGAGCCCCAGAAGGCGGGGTTCTTCAGGTCGTCCTCCCACTGTTTCACGAGCGGCTGGCGCAGCCTGGACCATAAGCGGATCCACAGGCAGCTGAGGTGGATCGGCCGCATGCCCCCGTCCTCCTTGGCCAGGAACACCGTGATCAGCTCCCAGAGCCTCGCGTCGCACGGGCGGGCCTCCCACGCCTCCAGGATCCTCAGGAACCGCTCGCGGTAGGCCTGCGGCAGGTGAGCGAGCTTCTTCGGATGGAGCCTATCCCACCCGAGTCCGCATCCCGCCTTGTACCTGTCCAGCGCCGCGTCCAAGTCTACTAACGATAGCGCGGGAAGCGGGTCCCCGTCGGGCCACAAGGCGGGGTGCTGCTCATCGTCCCGGCTGGCCTTGCACCAAAGGGGCATCCAGTCGTCGAGCAGCACTTGGAGGGCCTCCGAGCCTGCAACCGGAAGGCCTGGTCCCTCCTCCTCCTCGTCCTGCACCTTGCCAGCTGCGGCCCCCTCCTGCCCGGGCCCGGAGCCATTGCACGTTTCCTGCTGCATGACCGTGGAGTCCAAGTCACGCTGCTTGATGTACTTGAAGGCCCTGGAGCCTCCTAGCTCGGCAGCGGCCGCCTGGGCCCAGGCCTTCCACTCTTTGCCCTGCCGCTCCCGGTCCTCGTCGTCCATGCGGTCAACCTCCTTCTGGACCGCCCGCAGGAGCACCCCGTAGGCCCCAACGCTCCCGAAGCAGACCACGTCGGTGAGCTTCTTCATATCCAGGCCTGCCAGGGCCCCCTCTGTGAGCCACGGTTCACCCGGGCCCTGCAACGACCTCGTCAGCCGCTTCTGCCGCTCCAACTCTGGCCAGCCCTTGCCGCTGGAGCGAGTTTGCGTGACGAGCGCCGCAAGCCTCCGAAGGGCACCCGCGCGGCTGTGCCATCGCCGCGCCTCCTGGCTGTACCGCAGCCGCACGCTATGAGCCCAGTGCGCCTCCAACGGGACCCAATGCACCTGAAGGCCGTCGGCCCTGCTGTGGGCAATCCTGGCCGGGACCCCTTCGCCGTGCAGGGCCCCCAGGTATTGCTCCACCTTCGCGTACCACTCCGCGCACGCCTCGTCGATGCTGAAATCCCTCGCGTCCATCTCCCACTCGGTCTCCTCCTGCGGCGCTGGCCGCACCGGCGGAGGCAGGTCCAGCGGAAACTTGGCGGGGTACTTCGCCACCTGCACCTTCGCCCTCTTGTGCACGCCCTTCAGCCTCAAGATGACCGGAGAATGCGGGTGCAGCGGGGCGCCCTCCATCAGCTGCACGTCGTCGACCATCTCCGACAGCGTCCTGCTGACCACCGCGTAGTCGAGCTCGTTCGCGCCGCACGTTGGCCTGCCGGTCGAAGCCACCGTACCTCCAGCTTTCCGCGCCCAGTCATGGACCATGCATGGGTCGAGGTTCCAGTCCCCCAAAACCACCCAGGGGAACCTTCAGCTCAGGACCTCGCGCAAGAGGCTCTCCAGCAAATCGACACTGGGGCCCGTGAGGCCCACCGAGTCCACGAGGTACAAGGAGGAGGAGGAGGAGGAGGAGGAGAAGGAGAAGGAGGAGGGGGAGGAGCCTCGCGTGTCCGATGCGACAGCTCAGTGCTCGCGGCCTACTCTGCGCACCTCGCGCACCCTGGGCGGTCCGTATGTCGACGCTGGGTGCCAGGTGGCTGCTGACACTGTCTCCACTCTGTAGGACAAGGGAGTCGTAGCCACCCAAACAGCCAATCAGACCACCAAGGCCCGAGGTGTGCCTGTTCAGGCGGACGCCCCACTACAAAGAGAAAAAGTGAGCTGCTATTTAAGCTGGGTCCAAGTCAATAGCGGAGGAGGACGACCAGGAGGCAGCAGAGGACGGGGGCGCAAGTGTCCTCGTCTAGAAGGAGGAGGGGGAGGAGGATGCGGACGAGGAGGAGGAGGAGGAGGAGGAGCAGCAGGAGGGGGAGGAGAAAAGGGAGACGGAGAAGGAAGGTAGAGCGGAGAGCGAGACGGCGAGAGAGTGAGGTGGCTTCCAGCTCACCTCCACGAGGGGAGGCCAATCACCAGGCCCCTGCAGGGGCTGGCAGCATGCTACGGGGGCCCGCCTTCGAGGCTGCACCGCCGCGCTCCTTGCGAGGACGACGACGAGGCAACAGGAAGAGGGAAAGGAGGCAAAGAGGCAGCAGCTACAGTCTGCGCAAAAGGGTCTGGATGAGCATGCACGTTCGCTTGCAGGGCATCCTACTGCAGCGTTACGAAGCGATGAATAGAGAAGCCGATCTGCAAGTTGCAGAGGCAGCCACGGGAGAAAACCAAAAGTCGTATCGACGAGACGGGACGTCGTCCAGGGAGAGATCCTGGGATTCGGGGGGGCGGGGTAGTTCCCCGCCCTGCGCCTTGGGCGCGGCGCGGGAAGCTTGCACCCAGGCCGTGAGATGCCTCTGGCCTATCGTCGCGGGCGGAAAACATATCCGTACCACCCTCAGGTCGGGCATGCCCTCCTACAGGCGAATTTTGGTCGGAAAAAATCAAACAACAGTTGTTCACAGTGAATGCTTTATTTTTCTAGATCGATTTTTAATATATATATATATATATATATATATCAAAGATCCTATCTCATATACATAAATCATATGTTCAACCAAAAATGTTTTACTATGTTTGAATATTCCTCCTGTAGAGGGGCGGGCCCGACTTACGCCTCTCGTCGCGGGCGGAAAACATCTCCACACCCGCGGCCCCGTGGACCGCGACCCCCCGCGGCTACGCGTGCGCTTCGTCGCGGATGCCCCACAAGTGACGTACTCCAGAATTCGTAATAAAAGGGAGGGGGTCTGGACCCTCCAAGACAAGCCATGTCAGACCCCCCCCCTGAGAGAACCCTCCAAAACATCGTCCCCAGACCCCCCCAGGCCTTCCAAGATAGCCTGGAAGAGACCCCCCCCCGAAATGAGACCCCCTCCCTTTTATTACGAAATCTGGAGTATCCATGCGACCGCGTATCCTTACAAAGCCCAGGGTTCGCTAGGGACTGGTTTCCCCCCAAAACGGCGAAAACCCTTCCAAAACCCTGCCGAAGCCCTCCGAGAAGCCTCCAGGAACCCTTCCAGGAGGGTTTGGGAGGGTTTCAGGAGGGTTTCAGGAGGGTTTCAGGAGGGTTTCGGCCGTTTTGGAAGGAAACCAGTCCCTAACGAACCCTGGATTTTCTAAGCGTATCCGTGGGAACGCGCCAAGAATCCAGACCGCGAAGGCGCGGGATGTGGACATGTTCGCCGCTGGTGACGTCGTGCGCCTCCCGATGTCACTGGTCCTCCGCGGCAGCGGGCGCACACAGCGAGGGGCTGAGCGCTGCCCCTCATCACTGGCGCACCGCTGTAGGTGCCGCCGAAGCGACTAGTGCGTCCGGGCCCTCGGCGGAGCGGACGAGCAGCGGCGGAAGTCGTCGAAGGTATCGTCCTAGAGGCCGCCCAGATGGGGTAGGACCAGATGGGGTCGGGGGATCGCGCCGCACTGCAGATGCACCGGCGACGTCGCCGATGCAGCGGCGGCGTCGGCGTGAAGGAAATCGAGCTCCAGATCGAGCTGCATCGCCGAGGCATCGGCGATGCGGCGCGCCTCTCCAACCCCATCTGCTCGGACCTCATCTGGGAGGCCTAGACTTCCTCGTCCACAGCGAAGACGTGGAGGAACGTGCGCTTGACTGTGGCCGTCAGTGGCGGCGACGAGTCCTGCCCAGGGTGCGCGGAGGAGGCGCCCCGCGGCAGCGGGGCGGCGAGGGCGGCCGCCGAACGGTCGTCCTGGGCCCAGGGGGTCTGGCACTGCGGCTGCGGCAGCTCGTACGGGGCCGCCCGGTGTGCTGTGTGGTACTCCTACCCACCACGGGCGCCAAGAATATACCCAGACACGATCGCATCTTAAAAAAATCAGGGTGGAAATTGTTTCGTTGGTTTCGACCCCTGGGGGCCCTCGCCGGACCCCAGGAGCGTCAAAAAACGACTCGGGATGAAAAACCGGAAGGGCCGGGCCTTCCGGGGACGCCGTCCTGAAAAAATCAGGACGTCGCATGTCTGGGTGCGCCACCGCCACCACCTTGATCCTCTGTCCCTCCTCCAGCCTCTTCTTCCCTCCCTGTTTCCCAGCAGAGGGGAGGGGGCGAGGGAGGCGGTGGTGTGTGAATGTTTGGGCCCCGTACTCCGTCCTGCGAGCCGCACTGGGAGCCGTACTGGGAGCCCGACTCGTTGTACTCCTCCCCCTCCTCGCTGCCCTCCCACGGCCTGAGCTGCCCCGCCGCGTGGGCGAACTTGCACGCGTCGCCCTGCCTGCACCGCCCGGTCTTCACTAAGCTCCTTCGGTGGCATCTTGCTCGGGACGCACGAGGACATACCAGTGGTGCGTGGGTGATTTCGGAAACCCTGAACCCAACAACGTTGTCATCTCTTGGGGGCGCATCTTCGACTTCCGCCATCTGCCGCCGCCCTGCCGCCGCCCTTCCGCCGCCTTCCGCCGAGGACATACTAGTACTATGTCTCCCCCTCGGATGCGTGCGTCCGAACCGAACTGTTTGTTCGTCGGCGGAGAGGCGGAGGCGATCCAGCGTCGGGCTCATCGGGGGCACCGATCGGCAACGAATTGTCCGGCGCGCAAGACAGCGACGAGGGAGGACAATTGCAGCGCAGCACACAGTGCGACCCACCTCGTAGTACACATCGTTTCCCCAGTGGTGAGGGCAAGAAGCTGCCCGACACGGCGCATATGCTATACGGCAGGTTCGTGTCGTGCCGACCCCAGCGTTGGTTTTTGACACCGCAGGGATCGTTCAACCTTGAACGATCGGCCGCTGCCGCAACGTCCGATCGTTCAACATCGATCGATTCTGGGTCGCCGGCGGCGTTCAACCTTGAACGTCCGCGCTGGGGTCGCCGCTGGTCGACACGACGCAAACCTATCGTACGATTTCTCGGCGCGCATCAGCATGCCCGGGTGGCGCCGATCACGGGCTCGACGCGAATCGACGCCAACCGACGCTGACCGAGGCTCGTCGACGCGACTCGATGCCGAGTCGACACTCATCCACGCTCAATCCGCGCTCCCCCACCGACTACCAGACGCTGGCGCACGAAAGTGCGCTCCTAGCGGAGGAGTTACGGGGACACGCAAAGCTCCCATGACTTGCGACCGAAAAGCTCCTGCACTGCTGCGTGTACGAGAAGTCCGGAGCTGTTCTCACGTCCCCACTTCCGTGCGCAAAGTTGCAGTCTTCCCCGCGGGCGCAGTACCCCTTCGAGTAGTAGATGCACAGCCGAGTCTTGTGCAAGAAGCGGGCCGTCATCTCGGCATTACCTCTGCTGGAGACCCTCGCGGCACGCGTCATGCTGAGCGTCGGCGGCTGGTCCGAATGCCACTGAAGCAACCCCTGCTGGGAACCAATCAGTTTGGCAACGCGCTTGAGTCAAAGTGGCTACGGATCAGGATGGTTTCTTATCTCGGCGGCGCGCCCGGGGGGGGCAGCGGGAAGGGGCGGCCTCCTCCTTCGGCTCCGCCGCCTCCCGCCGCATCCCTACTCCTTATGAACAAGTCCTCCTCGTCGCACTGCCAAGCGCGTTGGTAGGGCGAACCACGCGTTTCGCTTGAGGCACCCTCACAGCTTATGACCATGATGTCTCGAGCCTTCGAAGCAGAGATGCGGATGAAGAGCGGGTGGTTGTCGAAACGTGGGTATCACCTGAACGTCGTCTACATTCAAAGCTTCCACAGTCACACGGATGATGAAAGACAAACTCCTCGGATCCTAAGTGCATGCCCGCAGCCTCCAAAGAGCCTGCCCACAGCGAAGCCAGCGGAGAAAGGCCGAGATGCTCCGCTAAGGTTGGCAACACAATCACATTTTCACGATGACCAGACTGTCCAGCCAATATCACTCGTCCGAAGAATCAGTGCCACACAAGACTTCGTCCTGAAAAAGCACTCTCACCGAGCTCGGCCTCTGCCCATACGGATTCCCATATGGGTACTCTTAAGCGACGTCACGAAAGAAACGGAGCTCAGATCGACCATGTTTTGGGTGATCCGAGGGCGGGCGAAACCAACCAACGTCCACGAATGCACTTCAACAAATCAACTGGAAAACTACGGACCGAGGTAATCATCCTTCCGATCTGGCCCGGCTCCAACCGATAAATTGCGGTGTCCATGGTGGATGTCGTGAGAAGGGACCGCGTGCCGCACCGCGCACGGTGTGATTTTGAGCTTGTCATAGCCCAAGGCCTGTAGGCTACCTTCAAGTCGCGCTCGTACTGAACCAGGGTCAGCGAGTCGAAGGGCCGCGCGGCGGGGTCGGCGGCCTGAGCTCGTCTGCTTCCTGGCCCGCCTTCGGAGGCTCGCCTGACGAGCGCCTCCGCCACCTCTGGAGCCAATGTCCTGGAAGGGTTTCCCAGCGCCACGGAGTCGTCGACATGGCCGGTCTCGGCAAACATATATATATATATATATATATATATATATATATATATATATATATATACTAGAACCATCGCGCGCGCTTCGCGCGCGCTCAGGTTCTAGCCCAGGCCGGGGGGGCGCTGGACGATCTTGGACAACGCTATCAAGCACAGGCGCGCGACGGCATCTGAGGAGCTTCTGGGGTGTTCCGCATGCTTCGTCAACTGGCTGTTGGAGGCACCTCTTGGGTGCTTCTTGGGGGGGCGTCTGAGGGTCCCTTGGGGGCATCGGTTCTGCAATCTGAAGCCGTCATTGACCGTCTTGGCTGCGTGGAGGCCCGACTTGAGGCCACCTGCGGCCAGATTGAGGCAATCCGGAAGCCTCCCGGCCTCCTGGAAACAATTTTAACGCATCGAGGGCACTCCTGCGCTAATTTAAAACCTCTTGGACGTCTCCTAGGGGCCTTTCAGGCCCTAGGGAAGCTTTTGGGGTCCTCATCGGATCACTTGGGGGCCTTTTTGCAGCCTCCTGTGGGCCTTGTGGGGGGACCGCTCTGCTGTTGGGCCGCGTTCCCCTTCTTGGGCCTCTCTTGGGGCTCTTGGGGCCCTCTGGGGCCGTCTTGGGCGCGGCGCCTCAAGCACCGTCTTGGGGCCCTCGCGGGCCGTCTTGGGGCTCTCTTGGAGGCCTCTTCCTCTGTGGGAGCGGTATTGGAAGCCTCTTGGGCCGTCTTGGAGCATCGGGATGCCAGAAGGCCGAAAACGTTAAAACCCGTCAAAGCCCAATCGTAAAACAATGTGTTGTGCCTCTTGGGGCCACCTTGGGAGATCTCTTGGAACCTCGTCGGCCCTCTTGGGAGCTTCTCGGGGGCCTCTTGGATCCGATTGGGGGCCTCTTGGGACTTCCCGAGAACCTCTCGGGGTAGAAAGCTCGGATTCTCGGTTCGTGTTTCCCTTCTTGGGCCTCTCTTGGGGCCGTCTTGGGGCCCTCTCGGGCCGTCTTGGGCGCCTCAGGCACCGCCTTGGAGCCCTCGTGGGCCGCCCAGGGCCCTCTTGGAAGCCTCTTCGGCTATCTTGGAGCTGTCTGGGAGGCCTCTTCCTCCTCCTCGTCCCCGTCCTCCTCCTCCTCCCACTCCAGCTCTCTCTCCTCCTGATCTTCCTGCTCCTCCTCCTGCAGCGTGTTCCGGAAGGCTCCCGCCAGAACATGCTGTGCACAAGTGCTGTCACGGCTCCCGCCACCTTGCCCTGGGTGGTGGGTCAGAGCTTCCCGAGAACCTCTCGGGGTAGAAAGCTCGGATTCTCGGTTCGTGTTTCCCTTCTTGGGCCTCTCTTGGGGCCGTCTTGGGGCCCTCTCGGGCCGTCTTGGGCGCCTCAGGCACCGCCTTGGGGCCCTCGTGGGCCGCCCAGGGCCCTCTTGGAAGCCTCTTCGGCTATCTTGGAGCTGTCTGGGAGGCCTCTTCCTCCTCCTCGTCCCCCCTCCTCCTCCTCCCACTCCAGCTCTCTCTCCTCCTGATCTTCCTCCTCCTCCTGCAGCGTGTTCCGGAAGGCTCCCGCCGGAACATGCTGTGCACAAGTGCTGTCACTGCTCCCGCCACCGTGCCCTGGGTGGTGGGTCAGAGGCCTCATGGGTGTTGGTTTGGATCTCGTGGTTGGCCTGTCGGGGACGTCGTGAAGGCAGTTTCGCAGCTTCTCGGTAGCCGTTTTGGGACCGTTGTGGGGCCTCCTCGGGGCTGTTTTGTGGCCTCTGTAGGCCTCGTTTGGGCCTCCTGGGTGCCTCTTGGGGGCCTCCTGGGGCCTCTTGGGGGCTCCTTGGGGCCTCCCGGGGCACTCTTCAAGCGGGAGGGTCGAATTTTGGAGTCGTGGTCCCCCTCGGCCTCTGGGGATGCCTTGGAGCGGAAATTGAAGCCTCTTGGGCCGCGTCAGAAGGCGAGAACTCGAAAATCAATCAAAAACCAAGGGAAAACAAATTAGTTGTGCCTCCTGGGGCTCCTTGGGAGCCATCTTGGAGACCTCCTGGGGCGTCTTGGAGGCCTCTTGGACAGTCAGGGACCAATTCTGGGGTGATCTCGGGCGGTCATTGGTCGTGTTCGTTGTCTGGAAACGCCATTTCTGGCAATCCAGGGCCGTCTTCTGGCGACTTTACAAGGCCCCCAGCGCCACGGCAGGGCCCCCGGGCCTCCCGGTGCGAGGGCCCCATCCCGGGCCCACCTCGTGCCCGCGGCAGGGCGTCCCTGGGCCGTCTCGGCGCACTCATGGGCCGTCTCGGCGCCCTCGTGGGGTGTCTGAAATCCATCAGAAATCGAAGGACAATCAATGATTTGGACGTCTATTTGGGCCGTGTTGGAAGCCTTGCGGGCCGTCTGGAGGCCATCTTGGGCATGTTCGAACGATATGTCCTCGTTTCGGGGCCTCCTGGGGGCCTTTTGCGGGCCCTTTTCGTCTGTGTTGGGGCTTTCTTGGGCCGTCTTGGGGCGGCCCTGGGCTGTCTCGGCGCCCTCTTGGAAGCCTGTTTGGAAGATTTCTGGGTGTCCTGGACCGCTCTCCTTCAACGTCGGCGGCACTGACCGTAAGACTTCCTGGGAACATGATTTGTCGGGGTGTCGTTGGGCGCCTCCGGAGGCTTCGGAGCCTGACGCGTTTCCAAGCGTGACGGCAGGTAGCGCTGCTTGGGACTCTCGTGTTTTTATCCTGGCAGGCGTTTAGGGAACATGGTGTGGGGAGAAGGCGGCAACCCGAGAATCATGTTCCCGGGAAGCTTGCCGGGAACATGATTTGTTCGGCTCTCCTAACAGGGGGGCCTCTGGGGGCTTACCGAATGGCCCGTTTTGGCCTTGTCGGCAAGTCTATTGGAAACATGGTTGGGGAGGTGGGCGGAAGCCCAAGGAATCATGTTCCCGGAAAGCTCTGGGAAATGCGATTTACCGAGGTCTCTTGGGGGCCCGCAAGGGGGCTTCCCTGGGGCCCCTTGGGAACTCATTGGGGCTTCCGGGGGGCCTTTTGGGAGCCTCACGGGGCTTCTTGGGAGCCTCTTGATGGCCTCCGGGAGCGTCCTAGGAGCCTCTCAGGCTGGAGACCTTGAAATGTCGCGCTCTTCGGGCCCTCTTGGGTCGCTGTAGGGGCTCTCTTGGGGCGCTCTCGAAGCCCTCTTGAATTATCTGGGGGGCCTCCTGGGCCGTCTCTGGTCTCTCTTGGGAGCCTCTTCGGCCGTCTTGGAGCGATCTGAACGGCCTCTGACGCCGTCCAGGACCGTGGGGAGGCGGAACATGCGATAGCGCAAAAATGCGGGGCCCTTTGGAAGGGCCTCTGGAGGTGCTCTTGGGACGTTTGGGCGGCGTCGTCGGCCGTCCTGAGGCCATCTTCGGCGTGTCTGGGGCCTCTTGAGGCTGTCTTGGCAATCTTTTGGGCCCTCTTGGCGTGTCGTGGCGTGTTTGGGAGCGGACCTGGGTAGTCCCGGGAGCGCTGGGGGCTGTTGAATGCTAGGCGTTGTCTTGGAGGCGGAGGCTGTTGAGTGCAGGGTGGCGCGTGCTACGCGGAAGGCGGGCGAGCGGCCAGGCGGACGGCGGGCGGGCGGGTGGCGGGCGGGCGGGCGGGTCGGGATTTGAATGAATTCCTTAAGGGTGCTCTCTTGCAGCGGGAGCTTGTTGAGCACAGGGTGTTGCCTTGAAGACGGGGGTTGTTGACTACAGGGTGTTGTCTTGGAGACTGAAGCTGTTGAGTACAGAGTGGTGCGTGCTACTCGGACGACGAACGGGCGGCGGGTGCCCTAGGTGGTGGGTCAGAGGCCTCATGGGTGTTGGTTTGGATCTCGTGGTTGGCCTGTCGGGACCGTCGTGAAGGCAGTTTCGCATCTTCTCGGTATCCGTTTTGGGATCGTTGCGGGGCCTCCTCGGGGCTGTTTTGTGGCCTTTTGGAGCCTCGTTTGGGCCTCCTGGGTGCCTCTCGGGGGCCTCCTGGGGCCTCTCGGGGGCTCCTTGGGGCCTCCTGGGGCACTCTTCAAGCGGGAGGGTCGAATTTTGGATTCGTGGTCCCCTCTTGGGCGCATCTTTGGGCCGTCTCGGGGCTCTCTAGGGCTGTCTTGGGCGCCTCTGGGGTCGTCTGGGGGCCCTCTTGGGCCGTCTTTGGGCGCTCTTGGGGGCCTATTGGGCCGTCTTGGAACGTCGGACAGCCGAAAAGGCTAAATCTCTCCAAAACCTACGTAAAATTACCGATTTCGGCCACTTGAAGCGCTCTGGAGAGGCCGGAGCACTGGGCCCAGGACCCTGGGAGGAGCCTCCGAATGTCGAAGGGCGACAAGAACGTCGGCGGGAGGCGAGCCGAGAAGTCGAAGGGGCAAGCGCGGTCCCGAGGGGCGACCGGGGCGGGGACGGCGTCGACGACGACGACGCCGACGACGGCGACACCGCCGACGACGGAGAATTCTCTCTGGGATCCGAGGGCCTCTGCGCTGGCCCGGGGCGGGAGGTGCCACCGAAGGAGGGCCGCGGCGCGCATGGCGTCCAGGAGGCCGTTTTCTTGGACCGGCGGCGGCGGCGGTCCGAAGTGCGGCTCGTCCGCACCGTCCGTTGTGGGGCCTCCTCGGGGCTGTCTGGGAGCCTCTTGAAGCCTCGTTTGGGCCTCCTGGGTGCCTCTTGGGGGTCTCCTGGGGCCTCTTGGGGCCCCTTTGGGCCCCCCCTCGAACGCCAACGATGAAACTTAGGCTTAATCTATGAATTCTCATTCCGATTTTTCGGGTGCTCCTCCAGCTGCACTCGACCAGACGCTCCTGAGATGCAACTCGATCTGGTCGCCGGTTCTACTGCTTCTGGCATGAGTTGCTCAAAAGAGCTTCGGCGTGCTTCTCGAACGAATCATTCCAGTCCATCCTGACAATCTGGTGGTCTAGCTCGCAGATCTGCTTGACATGTGTAGTCTCATTATCTGACAAATCTGGGCGGGAGTGCAAGATGCGGTCTCCAAACGCAACTCGGAAATTGGCATCAATTTTGAGTGCGTATTTCTTCATCGGCTCCATGTCCAAACACTTCTTCGGGATGGCGCGGTGCTTGACCATCGCATCCACCTTGTGCGCGAGCTCTTGCTTCGGCGGCGCCTTCAATTTGCAGTGGTGATACTCATGCATGTATTTCCCGAGTAAGTGCCACATTTGGAAATCAACGGCCTCGTCGGAAGTCAATCCTGGCCAGACGCGGACTTGTTCGAGAGGCTCCTCGAAAGTCGGTAAACCAACGGCAGACAGCAGCATATTCACAATGTCGCCGTCGTTCTGTGCCCCCAGAAAATCTAATATGAAAACGCTGTCACGGCCAAATCCTTGAGTATGGTCTGGCGGCGTACCCGCACAATCCTGCGCCATCTGTCCCTGATCGGGATGCCTTCCCATAGTATTCGGCGAACGACACGCCGATTTCGTGGGATCTGTGTGTACTGAGGTGCTGTTTGTACGCAGAGCACATCCGACCGAGGAATGGCCGGTGAGCGAGCACCACCTTGATGTTAAACTTCGAAATTACGCTACCGAAGAACCCCACATACTTAATTTAAATATGATGTGCTTGCTTATGTCTTTACTATATGTGCAATCCTGCGTTCTGAACCCTCGTCGCGAATGTTTCCCTATGTGTCATCCAACGCCATATCGCTTGCCACGCTTTGCGAGCCCGCAACGGATAGGGAGACCACCCCCAGCGCACCCCCTGTCGTGTCGAGGAAGTGCCACGCCTGCCACGCTTTGCGAGCCCGAAACGGATAAGGATACCACCCCCAGCGCACCCCCTGTCGTGTCGAGGGAGTGCCACGCCTGCCACGCTTTGCGAGCCCGCAACGGATAGGGAGACCAACCCCAGCGCCCCCCCCCCCTGTGGTGTCGAGGAAGTGCCACGCCTGCCACGCTTTGCGAGCCCGCAACGGATAAAGATACCACCCCCAGCGCACGCCCTGTGGTGTCGATGAAGTTCAACGCCTGCCACGCTTTGCGAGCCCGTCAAGGATAGGGAGACCAACCCCAGCGCATCCCCTGTGGTGTCGGGGAAGTGCCACGCCTGCCACGCTTTGCGAGCTCGCAGCGGATAAGGAGACCATCCCCAGCGCACCCCCTGTGGTGTCGAGGAGATACCACGCCTGCCACGCTTTGCGAGCCCGTCACGGATAAAGACACCACCCACAGCGCAATCCCTGTGGTGCCGAGGAAGTGCCACGCCTGCCACGCTTTGCGAGCCCGAAACGGATAGCGTCCCCACCCACAGCTCCCCCCCTTGTGGTGTCGAGGAAGTGCCACGCCTGCCACGCTTTGCGAGCCCGAAACGGATAGCGTCCCCACCCACAGCTCCCCCCCTGTGGTGTCGAGGAAGTGCCACGCCTGCCACGCTTTGCGAGCCCGAAACGGATAGCGTCCCCACCCACAGCCCCCCCTGTGGTGTCGAGGAAGTGCCACGCCTGCCACGCTTTGCGAGCCCGAAACGGATAGCGTCCCCACCCACAGCTCCCCCCCTGTGGTGTCGAGGAAGTGCCACGCCTGCCACGCTTTGCTGCCCGAAACGGATAGCGTCCCCACCCACAGCTCCCCCCCCTGTGGTGTCGAGGAAGTGCCACGCCTGCCACGCTTTGCGAGCCCGAAACGGATAGCGTCCCCACCCACAGCTCCCCCCCTGTGGTGTCGAGGAAGTGCCACGCCTGCCACGCTTTGCGAGCCCGAAACGGATAGCGTCCCCACCCACAGCTCCCCCCCTGTGGTGTCGAGGAAGTGCCACGCCTGCCACGCTTTGCGAGCCCGAAACGGATAGCGTCCCCACCCACAGCTCCCCCCTGTGGTGTCGAGGAAGTGCCACGCCTGCCACGCTTGCGAGCCCGAAACGGATAGCGTCCCCACCCACGGCTCCCCCCTGTGGTGTCGAGGAAGTGCCACGCCAGCCCGAACGGATAGCGTCCCCACCCACAGCTCCCCCCTGTGGTGTCGAGGAAGTGCCACGCCTGCCACGCTTTGCGAGCCGACACGGATAGCGTCCCCACCCACAAGCTCCCCCGTTGGTGGTGTCGAGGAAGTGCCACGCCTGCCACGCTTTGCGAGCCCGAAACGGATAGCGTCCCCACCCACAGCTCCCCCCCTGTGGTGTCGAGGAAGTGCCACGCCTGCCACGCTTTGCGAGCCCGAAACGGATAGCGTCCCAATCCACAGCTCCCCCCCTGTGGTGTCGAGGAAGTGCCACGCCTGCCACGCTTTGCGAGCCCGAAACGGATAGCGTCCCCACCCACAGCTCCCCCCCTGTGGTGTCGAGGAAGTGCCACGCCTGCCACGCTTTGCGAGCCCGAAACGGGTAGCGTTCCCACCCACAGCTCCCCTCCTGTGGTGTCGAGGAAGTGCCACGCCTGCCACGCCTGTGCCACGCCTGTGCTGTGCTGTGCTGTGTTGTGTGCTGTGCTGTGCTGTGCTGTGCTGCGGTGAGCTGTGCTGTGCTGTGCTGTGCTGAGCTGAGCTGAACTGCGCTGTGCTGTGCTGAGCTGAGCTGTGCTGTGCTGTGCTGTGTGCTGTGCTGTGCTGTGCTGTGCTGTGCTGCGCTGCGGTGAGCTGTGCTGTGCTGCGCTGTGCCGTGCTGTGTGCTGTGTGCTGACCTGAGCTGAGCTGTGCTAAGCTGTGCCGTGCTGAGCTGAGCTGAGCTGAGCTGTGCTGAGCAGTGATGTGCTGTGCTGTGCTGTGCTGTACGAAGAGTGAGGTGTGCGTGTGTGTGTGTGTGAGTGTCGCGGGTGCGGCGCGGCAGGGAAGAAAACCAGAACCCCACGAAGCATGTGGGGGGAAATAAAGATTTCAGCGACGATATCGACTTTGGACTCATGAGAGAAAGCGCCTCGGAGCTGACGATCACGTGCTGGCCTTTATCCAGTGCCTCGCTGAGCTTATCCTGGAAGGCTGTCATTGTGGCATCGTCTCGATCTGGATACGCAAGAAAGTGACGCGCTGGCTTTTGACGTCCCTCCACTGGCGGCACGTAGTACACCATATTTCATTCCGAGGAGTTTGTCCCGGTACGCCGCCAGGACCCCTTGGATGTACGTGGTCCCCGTCTTAGGCGGCCCGATATGGATCAGAGCGGTCGGCTTTCCCAAGGGTCCCGCTGTGCGCCTGGTGACCGACGGACTCGACCACAACCCGACCAGGCTCCATCCCTGGCAGCCTCGCAGGGCAACCACCAGCGGCCAAGAAAGTGCAACCGTGGACACGGTAATGATACAAAGCGTGGGAAAATCGAAAAACAATACAAGCCTTCTCGGCAACCTCATGGGAGTCTTCGACATGCTGGTCAGATTCGTGAAGGAAGCGAGGCCTCCCTTGATCCAAAATGGCTACGGACACCGACCTGGGCGGGTTTGGTTCAGTTATCGGGCCCCCATCGGCGATCCGTGGGCGATTGGGGGTCGATGCGCCCCAACCCGATGCCTATCTCCCCCTATCGTTGGCCCTGAATTCGGGGTGGTGGTGGTGAGCGTTTTGTGATCCGGCGTTTCGATAATGGGCGGAAAAAGGGGCGGGGAGTGGAGGGGTCTGGCCCTCTGCTTCGCGCGGCTGTTTGCGACAGTGCGTCCTGTTGAGGGGAGACTCCCCTTGCTCGAAACAGGCGCCAAACAACAGCCAAGATCTACTCCATTCCTGATTTTCCAGAAGGGCAGAAAAATTACACCAGGACCTTGACGTCCAAATTCTCGTCGAGGTTGTAAGCAGTCCCAATAAGTCTATAGCACTCTGGAAGGTCGGGGATGGGGGGGTGGGAAGGGGGGTGCGAGGACCCGCGCCGAGCGGCAAACCAATGCATGAAAACAACGATCACGTGGAACACAGGGGGCCGCCTCGTTTCGGGGCGTTCGATGCCAGGGGGGCAATGGACAGGGGCGACGCAGCGCGCGCGCCCCTCGTGCACATTCTCGGGCCCGCGGTGGCAGCCTGGGGCCCCCTCAGGCCCGCCTTCCTGCAGCCCTCGATCCCCCCACGCTCGGCGGCGACGATGGGGGCGAACACGCATTCGCCCGGGAGCCTTTTCGAAAACGTGGATCATCGGTGCACCTGAATACGTATATTGCTCTCCCCTGGGCTATTCGCCCCCATCGTCGCCTCTGATGCGCTCCTCGTGGCCTCCCCTGCTGCCGCCCGTCCGGCTGCCGGGGGCAATCTTCGGCCCCTGGGGGGGTTCTTGCCATGCCCCGGCGCCCCGCACCGGGGGTATCACTCGACCCCCTTCAATGAGGACGCACGATAACGATGCAAGGCCGTTCTGAAGCCTTGGAGGCCTTGGGGGCGCGGCCAGCGGAAGTGGCCTAGGATGGACCGAGGAGTCAAGGATGCCAGGGAACCCTTGGGAAAGGGTGCCGGGGTGCCCATCCTTCCCATGCGGGTTGACTGCATGGGGGAGGGGGGGAGGCTTCTTAGAAGGAGGCTGCTTCTTAGAAGGCGCCGGCCTTGCATGTCTGGACAAGGTCCGGAAAGGAGGAGGAGGAGGGCGAAGGGGGAAAAGGAGGGTGGAGGGATCGAGGTCTTGCCTCAGGGAAGTTTTTCATCCCAGGTTTGCTTGCGAGGGCCCCGGGGCTCGAAGACGCCCCCCGGAGACCGGAACGGAAGGAAAAATGCGCAGGGCGACAGTCGATCAAAAAGTCTTCGAAAAACCCGAAGAAGAGGAAGGAGGGGGGTGGGGGCGGGGGGCGCCGCTTCACCGGGGGCGGGGCGGCTGTCTCTGTCGCGCGGACCCGCGGGGCGCCGGGGGCTCTGCCAGCGCTCCGGACACTCGGCCCAATCCTGGCCCTCGTCGCCGTCCCCGTCGTCGGCGCCGACCCCACCTCCCTCTCGTCCTCCCTCCCTTCCCCTTCTCCCTCCCTCTCCCCCTGCCCTCCTCTCCCTCCCTCCCTCCTCTCCCTTTCTCCCTCCTCCTCCTCTCCCTGCTCTCCCCTCCCCCTTGCCCCCTCCCTCATCCCCTTTCCCTGGCCGAGCGTGCAACGACGGTGCAGGGCAGGGGGGGCCCGCTGCTTTTTGGAGGTACGCTGTCCTGCTCAGCCGCAGCGCAGCCCGTAAACAATCTGGCCACCATGTCCCTTTTGGGACGGCGCTTCGTCTCGGCCCGCAGCCGAGCACGCGCGTCGGGGTCATGCAGCTGTAGGCGCTCACGGAGCTCAGCGAATGCCGCGTTGAACTCCCCGGAATCCGCTATCGTGTCTTCCGACACTTCGAGGCGCGGCCCAGTCACAATCGGCAATGAGGCCCCCGAAAGGGCCAGAAGGCGGCGGCCCAAGAAAGCGCCAAGACAGGGCCCAAGAGCGCCCAGAGAGGCCCAAGAGGGGCCCAGGACAAGGATTGGTTTCGGCCCCAGAGGGTTTCGGGCCCACGTTGTTTTCGGCCCCGCGTTGGTTTCGGCCCCAGCAGATTTGAGCGCCAGCGCAAACCGCGGAGAGTTTGCACGCGCACGCACGCCTGCGCGCCACGGGCTTTCCAAGCGGGTCCACATCAGGGGTGCAACTCACGAGGGGGTTGGAGGGGGGCCCCAAGGAGTTGTTCTCTGCGGAAAATGAATGGCT